ACATCCTCTTCATGTGGGCGGGGGTATTATTAATCAAGAGTCTACATGATTTTACATTTAGTTGAGGGGTCAATGATACCGATGCAAGCTCTTCCAGGTCGTAATCAAATCCATCGGCTGATCGATAGAGTCCGATAGAGCTGGGGTGTGGTCGATGGACGGCCAGCTGCAGCCGGGTCGAGCTGGGTGGCTTAGGATCCCGGAAGCGTGTCCCAACAGCGTCGCTGAGACGTCTCCCCTGACACTCACTGTAGCATGAGTCCCCCCTCTTTCCCCCTTGAAATACCGGTCGGATCTGGCCTTGAAGTTCGCGTGTGGTCCAAAGAAGCAATCTGAGCGCCCCAAATCCGATGATCGTCCTTCTTCATGAAACATGGGCCAAAAGCCTTTGAGATCCACCCGACGAGCCGTGGAGATCAGCGGTTCCTGTTGCCTACACATGAATTCTCACCATGTCTGAGTTGAAAAAAAAAGCACCCGCCGAGGAGTTTTTGAGTTGGCGATGCCCTCAGTTTCCCAAGTTCCAAGACATCTCCAGCCAAGACATCTGCTGCAGTCTGGTCTGACCGGTACCTGTTTTCTTGAGCCAGCCTTGAACACCAAACAAGGTGCCATCCGGATCTGAAACCACTGGTTTCGCAGCTAGTTGGGAGGTTTCAACCCATCAACCAGCGGAAGAAGTCAATACAAGTCCATCTTCCCAGGTTGAACACCCAACACATCTTTGAAACACCAACCAGTCCCGATCTCTCCGACGCATCACCGGCCCATCGTCTCGGACCGGCCCATCGTCCCGGGACCCGGGTCTTTGGCCACCGGGTCGCTGCTTCAGAGCGATCGCATCAGCCTCTTGTCGTTCCTTCTCCTCCTGCTCGGCAAACTCCTCCGGCCAGCGCGGCGGGCGACTGGTGCGGCGGTCCCCGCGCGGTCCAGCCACAGGACGACGGTGCGGTCACGCCCTGTAGATGGCGGGGGCACATTGGCCCTAAGACCCCCTTGGCTTGGGTGGAGAAGGGATGTTCCAGTGACTTGGGGCAGATGAGTTCGTGAATTCGTTGATGGAAGATGGGCGCTGTTGACCAGGTTACAACGACCAACCGCCCTCTGGTTGCCCTTTCTGAAAAGGGAATTCCCATTCCTCTGGTTGCGGCCCAAGCAAAGCTCCAGCGTCAGACATGGGTGTGCTTGAAAACATCCCAAGATGCTTGAGCCCGCCGGAGATCCATTCAGGGTGCTGAGATGTTTGTCTGCACTCAGAATCAAGAGAAGGGTAAACATTAAAAAAAACACCACAAATTCCAGCAGATCCCAGCAGTTGGGGTGCTGACCCGCACTAGGCTCCACAACGAGCACCAAAAACAAAAGCCTCTGATTGAGTCTCCTTAAGACCTGCTTTCAAAGACTGGGCCTTCCAAAAGCTGTCAGGTTGAGGAGGATGGAAACGCTCGAAAAGGTTGGCATCCACATTTCGTGTGTCTGTGTCAACCCGATTCTTTCAAGCTTCACAGTGCATCAATGCATAAACCTCTGCTCCGGCTGCTGTGCGGTTTCCCATTTCTAGAAGAAATGGCTGCCTGGATCCATCAATGCCCCCCCCAGGACTCTTGACCAGAATGGACTATGATGACTATTTTAAAGACAAAGACTATCAAAGACTGTGAACCGCAGAACCACGGCGAACCGTGGGTGGTTCACCCGGGGGTGTCACCCATGACCGACACCGCCGACACCGTGCCTTCCCGATGGTTTTTGGTTGCCAAGTGATGGTGTTACCGTGTGTGACCGACACCAAGCCCCGCGTCAGCCATCCCAACCAAACTCTCCCCCCAACCGACCGCCCAACCGGGCACCTGCAGATGCTTCTGGGCCTCCCTTCTCTCCAGCCTGGATTGAATCGACTCCGACTCCATCGCTCCCCCAAACCCCCAACGAGGCCGGTCCAAACTCATGGGCCTCGGGCGACCGCCCTCTGCTCCGAAGGGCCGACCGTTCATAATCCTTCGCGGCTGGAACCGCTCCCCGACGTGACCGTGCATCGCCACGCTTGACCCGCAGCCGCTTGTTTTTTGGGGCTTCATTTCGCGCGCGCGGCTTGTTCGGTGCAGTGCAGCACTTTCACAAGCGGATTTCGCGGACAGACCTGATTTCGCAAGCTTTTGCTGTCGCGCTCCCAAGCTTTCATACATGAAAAGTTCGCCCGGCATTTTTCGCGACTGCACCTTTAGCTTTCGCGAAGGCGGCATCATAACAGTGTTACCTTGCAAAGTTTGGACCCATGCTCACCTCTCCCTTGGGAATCGGCTCCGGCCGTCGCTCGCCTTCGGCGCAGCTTCACCAGTGCCACGATGAGGAGCGACATGAGCACTGCACCAGCACTGAGGATCACACCAAAGACCTGCCGAAAGGGTCCCCCAGAGTTTGGTCTTCCAATGTTTGAATTGGATGGCCCAGGACGCAAAAAAATGGGTTGAAATGACTGATCAAGTCCAACAAATTGAAAGGTAAAGAATGGATTCATGAAAGAAGATATAGAATTATAAAATAACATGTTTGTGACAATGTTTTGAAAACAGAAAAATTGGTTAGAAGGAAAAAAAATGATTTTGATGCATTAAAGTTATACTAGCGAAGGAATGTCACATAGATGTTCAAATCCAGGCAGAAGGCATGCTTCACGCTGGTGAAAGCACAACCTCGACCTCACCCCCAACCAAAACCCACCCACTACGGCCCACCACCTCCCAACAACGGTCCACACATGTGCCGACAAACACGGTGCGCGCGACCGCTGGGTGGCTGGGCCTCCTCTTGCAGGTCGCTGGGCCGCGCCAGGCAGAGCAGTTCGCGCTGCAAGGTGCCATACTCGTCAGACTGGAGCAGATCGGATTCGGCGGCCGATTGATTCGGCGGATTGTTCGGTGGAGAAGGAACCATCTGCGTCTGGAGGGCGCAGGTGAGGTGAAGATGGAAGGACTGTGAGCTTGGGTGAGAAATGAACTATCTCGCGTAGCCGTGGCCAAAAATCCCCAGAGCATCCAACAGCTACAGCTGTCCCGGACCAGGTCCAAAGCTGCCAAAAAGTGGGCTTGACAGATCTTCTTTCGCACCTGGTGGTAGAAGCAGGTAATCGGGTCTTTCCAGGCCCAGATCTTGAAGCTGTCACACCGGTCCTGGGCTCGCCAGCTTGGCACCGACGGCCGAGCTTGGCACCGACGGCGAAGCAAAGCGTTTTGGGACGACGGGTCAGGGTGGTGTGATGCTCTATGGCCCGGCTCTGGGCCACCGAACGGAGGATCTCTGGAAGATGGCATGAAAATTCAACGAATCCACACGCTCGGGAAACTCGGAAACTGCGAGACATAAGCTTTAGCTTGAAAGCTGACCAGTCCAATCTCAAGGAGGAGAACACATGCGTTCTACCCAGCCAGGTGCAGGGTGTCACCCTCCTTCCGAAGCTTCCACATTCTTTCAGTGGCAGGTCCAGACCCGCCCCACAAATGGTCCATGAATCGGGTCTTCCTCCAACCCTGTTCAATGAAGGTCTAACGTGGTGAGTGGAATCCGAAAGACGCCACGAATCAACCCATCCCTACAAGTCAGAGACCTCATTTTGCTGGAGTTGGTCAGAACAAACCAATGCTTAAGGAGGTAAAGAAGAGGTGTTGCTGGGTCAGACTGGACTTGTAGGGCACGATCAACCCATGAGACCCATTTCGAACCTCCCAAGCGTCATCCTCCATGCGCCCGGTGCGGCTCAGATCCACGTGATCGCAGGGCACTTGGATCTGGCAGCTCTGGACCACATGCCCCGCGAGGCGTTCGGGCGACGCGCGATAGAAGCGCCGGATGAGGTAGGTGCCTGGCCACATGTTTGGCGCCCCTTTACATGTTTTGGGAGTGGATATATGTGGATATGGTATAGGCTTTTTGAATCTCTGTGGCAATCTCCTATAAGATGTATCAAGGCACTTTGGCTCATGGAATTCTTATCCTTCAACTTTCATTCCTGGGGAACAAAGAGTCACAACCACTGCGTTTCTTGACTTGGGCCCAGGGGGCTCTAGCAATATGATGCCATATTTCTGCTAGGTGTCCTGCATCCGCGTGATTTTGATGCGTCCTCTGTGGTTTGTCCGTCCGTCCCTCTTTTCACGCCTCTCACTTGCGTGACCGCCCCGCGCTGTGTCTCGAAGCTCTCGGGGAGCTGCTCAATCTGGCAGCGGCCCTCCACGTACTCCAAGTTCCGCAAAACGCTCACGGTGAGCAGAACGCTGGAGACGCCGAACAAAACCACCGGGACGATCAAGGAGCTCCACAGCAGCCAGGTGAGGACCTCGCCAGGATCAGGTGAGGACCTCTTCTCCTCTTGAGAGATCAAGTTGGAGCACGACCAGTGGGCAATGTGATAATTTGTTTAAAGAAGTGGAAACCTGGATGAACTTGGGTCATCCAACCAACGCCGGCAAAGCTTCCTGTTGGAGACTGACTGAGTTACTGTGAACATTGGCATCGTTGGAAGGACTTGAAAGCGCCCGGTCACCCTCCCCGAACCATCAAGATATATCAAGATCCGATCCTCGCCGAAGAACAGATGTCATGTCACTTCTCTCACCATCCAGGAGACGCGTCCAGGGCCAGGGAGGTGATCTAAGAACGGATCCCAGTAGGCCAAAACGAAGATCCGCCACTTGCGCATCACCCATGTCGGGCACAGCCCATCTGGATCATCGCCCTCCTCCATCTTCACCTGAAAAAAGCGGTGCGGGTGAAAAAAGCGGTGTTGGAAACGCAATGACGAATTAGACTGAGGACTGGCTTGTTTGGAAAGGACATAACATATCTTGGATTGTGTGGGATTTTGTTTGGAGTTGTGGTCGTGCTGTTCACGCATCAAGCTGTGTGGGATGGTTTCTCCTGCTTGGAAAACCTGACCACCCCGAAGACCGAAGTTTGGAATCATGAACATCATTCAACCAATCAGCTTCCAATAAGCTTCGTTCGTCTCATACTACCCAGCTCTTCGCTATGTAATTCAGAAATCCATCGGCACCGTGAGTCGAACCTTCGGCACCGTGCGAACCCCTCACGTCGAGTCGAACCTCGTCCCATCCCTGCGGCCCAAAGCGCGAGCACGGGGCCCAAGTGCTGCCACATCTCCACGCGCGACTCCTCCACCGCGGTCGGCGTCGGCGTCGGAGATCCGGTCGTGAAGAAGCGCTCCGAGCGCAGCGTTAGCATGGGTGCCACCCCGGGGTGAAGAAGAGTCTCGAAGGATGGTTTTTGGGGGTTCAAGCACCACGGATTTCGGGTGTCCATGAATACACTTTTTGGGGTCAAGGATGGTCAAGGGGTGTCCATTCACCACCCCGACTGGGAGTGGAAGCTGTCTTTGTTTCACCCATCCCCACTCAACAGACACTTGGCAACACCAGTCACCTCACCCCACATCTGAAAAATGGCTGGAAATGGCTCCAACCAATCCAGGATGAGGTGAAAGAGCCACTGGGATGTTGGCTGTCGTAGGAAGTCCCAACCCTTCCAAAACACCCACGGAGACCTCGTGCCTTCCAAACCTGGTAGGTCTGAGACCAGTTCCAGGGCAGGAAATCGGTCCAGATCAAGGCCTGAGACGAGGTCGGCGGCCCCCCCGAAACCCGCAAGGTCGGTGGTGGTGGTTTAAGACTGGCACATGAACCAGGTGTTTTCTTGGTGTGGGCTGCAAACATGATGCAACCCAACAAACATCCAACCATATTGCGGATGGTACCATGTGACGGATGGCTCAGCATGCTCATCCTCTAACAAATATCAAGTAACACTCAAAGAGCATGAGCATGTGGGTGCCAACAACGTGGCGAAGCAACCCATCCTCATGAACCTCCCGATTCGGGGGGGGTCAGTCGGAAGTCTCTCCACCGAAGTTCCTGATGGGTTCGGGTCATGTCGCCAATCTGCATGCAGAATCGCAAGTGTTGCATTGAAAAATTGCACAGACTTAGAAACAACCATTGCATGGAGATGCACCGATTGCATCGGCTTGCAGATGGCACGGCCAGAATCGACAACCAAATTGCACAGACTTAGACAATAGACTCTGACTCATGTTCTTCTCATTCTTTGACTCTGCACATGGTATCGCACTTTGGGAGCGAGTCGATCCTGTACCACGGCCTGTTTCAACGTCGGAATCCTTCGACCTTTCAAGACACGATCGCGCACGCGCCAGCGACGCGCGGTTCGCCGAGCGAAAGGAAGCGAAAGGACGCCGAGCACTTCATCTCACCTCCCAGCCCTCCAAGATCTCGAGTTCCTCATCTTCATCCTGCCAATCCAGAGTCGCGAGCAACCGAGAAATGACCTAACAAGATTTGAGGATGTACCAACCGAGCAACGAGCAATATAGCAATCCTGAGATCTCAAACATGTTTGAAAAATCAAGAACAATAATTTGGTCTTCTTGACTTGCCTGGTGTGGATTCACTTGCCTGGTCCCCGAACCAAACATCACGCCCAGAGCCAGGCGCCGCTGGGACGGTGCTCGGTCGGTTGGTCCTCAATGATCTCGGGCAGCTTCTGCAAGGTGGTCTTCCGGACCTCTTGGGGCGTGGCGTTCCGGACCACGTGGGTGGCGTGCGTGACTCGGAGGTGCGTCGGTGCTTTCAAAGCAGCGGCTGAGCGGTTCGTCGCGCGTGGTGTTCGTCGCGCGTGGTGTTCGGTCAAATGGAGCTCATCGAAGCATGGATCATCTACACCACATCGATCATCTTCACCAAGAGTTCCTTCCCAACTCTGTCATACCAAAAAGATCCAAAAATGAACGTCACTCACGCATCCTCCCATATCCTCCCCCTCTTGGCTCCAAGACCACTGTCCATCCTTTTCCATCCTTTCCCCCCACTCTCGTCCTCCCGCACGCCTGTCTGAACTCCTCCCGCGCGCTGGTGGCTTTGGAGACCTCCTTCCCCGAGCGCTGCGCCGTGGCCTTTCCGGCGCTTCCGCCGGCACCAGCGGCACCGACGGGCGGTGTCACCTTCACCCGTGGCTTGATCTCCTGCGGCCGGGTGAAGGGAGAGAGGAAGCCCCGGTCGCCAGGAAGCCGGGGATGGATTGGCTGCACCAAGGAAAATCAGACCCGAAAGCCTATTCGCTGGTATAACATCCGTTGATTGGATAGAATTATATAGGTTCAAAAAAGTTGTGTTTGGCTTAAAGAGAGCTTAAATTGGATGACTCAATTTCCGTGATTCAGCTTAAAGTTTGTTTGGCCTGTAATGGAAAATAAGAGAGTGTTAAGCTTTGGAAGTGGTAAAGGAGTATAAGGAGGTGTAGGTGTAGGCCTAGGCGTCCTTACTGTTAGCACGTGTTGTGATGAGGGGACCTTACTGTTGCAACACTGGGATCTATTAACTGATGAACTGATGAATCTCACTCCCCAAGACCGTGGAACATCCACTGTGCTCCAGGAGGAAAGAACATCTGGCCAACCAGAGCATCTGTCAGTTCTCTGAGATTCTGCCTGAAGAAGCACGCCACTTCGCCAAGTAGTCAGTGACTACTTGTGAGCCTGTAACATGCATCTCTGATCATATGGCTTTCCTCTTGTCACTTCCAGCACCCGTTTTCAAGGCAGGAAGGCTTAGAAGAATCGTGGTCGCCATGGCTCCTAAGGGCCCCAAAGACCTCCCAAACAAACAGCAGCACGGGAGGAGGAGAATCCCAGAAATACCCTACCAACCTGATCGTGGATGGCACGGTGGAAGTGGTCGCGAACCTGAGAACTGACATCAACGCACCCTCTCCGCGCGTGGAACGCAGCTGCACCTTCAGCCGGCTTCGCGGCTGCTCGCGTGGCCCCTCCGAGTATTTGCTGCTCCCCCAAGTGGAGCTTCGTGTCAGGCGCCCAGCAGACGTGGAGCTGCGCGTGAGGCGCCCCGCCCCGGCCGAAGTGCTGCGGCCGACCACCTCGGCTGGGACAAACAAGGATGAACGGAAATCGGAGTGTCTCACAGAGACAGATCGAGATGGCTTCAGCATGTTTGAAGCCCCTTGAAAAATGGGGTTCGTCATCCCAGGTCAAGGTCGACCACACAAAACAACAACCAGGCGGTCCACTTTGCTTGAAAAAATCCTAAGATGATGTCTTTGCTTCCCAAATCTGACTGATGTCTCACGTGTGTTTCTCCGGTGGAACCCAAACGGAATCCCACGTTGGCCTTGCTTCGGGCGGCTTCCAACGGAGCGTGGGTTACCTATAGTCCATTAGATGTCTACAGTAGTCACTGGGTCCACTGGACCAGGCTTCAGCCAAAGACTTGTCCAATCTTATATCATCTTTCACCAGTCTGCTGAGATGGCTGGAAGCTAGCGTCCGATCGCTCCTAGGAGTAATGCCAGGGGCTACGTTCGTAGCTTCTTGTCATCATGAAGGGGGGTCCCTTCTCCGACTGCTGCGACTTGCTCGGGCCAGTGTGCGACTCGGGTGGGCTGGATCTGGATCGGTCTCGAGCCAGTGGGGAGTCCATACCCCTCCAGGACCTGACTCTGCATTTGCCCCAAGCTAATGTGCGGAATGTAAAGAATTGACACCTCCAGGTGAAAACATGGAGGCCATTCGGGTCTTCCTAGCAGTGACAGGCCTTTCTCCACCAGTCTGCTGAATTCAAGAATGCAACACTCACCGTGTCCGCGTACCAATTCAATGCTGAGGAATCGCAAAAATCGCTTGGTTAACAAGAACACAAAATTCATCAACATTTCAAGACTGGACTCGTTGGGGAATACTTGACTAGTCGGTTCACCCTGATCGACATATATTTATATATAATTACCAATTTCAAGAGGACCAGCAATGATTCTGCGATATTGTTTAACAATTGTTGTATGGATCCAGATTTGGCTCTACCTTACCCCCCATGACCAGCATATGGTTTTGTCTATTTGTTTACCTGCTTCACTGGCGTCATTGAGCATGGCAACCTCAACCCATGTCACCAGTGCTGATCGTCTTCCACCGGGTAGCACTGGTGCTTCGATTCACCGTCTTCCTCGTCCTGGTACGTCTCAGGCTGCCACTGCGCTTGACGCGGCGCGCGCGACAACCACAAAGGCCACAGCTGAGGATGCGCAGCAGGAGGATCAAAGGGCAACAAAAGCAGCGGATCGCTGTCGCCAAGGCCTTGCAGCGGCCAACGAACACTCCTGATTTAGTTGCCGGGCTCCAGCGGGATAGTGTCTATACATGTCTACACCTACGTGCTGGAAAACACGCTGGCCTTCCTCCAGCCACCTCCCTACCTCCACACCTCCCTCCACCTCCCCACGCAGTATGCACCAGCCATCTGCCTGACATCGTCCTTCAAAGGCCTCCCACAGGTCACCGCAGCACCGCGCCGCCCGCAGGCAGCAGCCGCAGCGCCGCTCGCAGCGCTCCGCGGCACCGGACCACAAGGCGGCGCCGCGCGCGCGGACCGCGCCGAGCGGAGCACAGCAACGACGAGGACCTGGTGCGAGCCGATCCGTGGTGGTTCTGGATGGTTCTGGGGAGTTTTTGTTGCTATGAATTGCTATGATGTTGAAGTTCGACGCTATTTCCTTGGCCTTTGTCTGTGTGTGTGTGTCAACCCCTGTCTCGAAGAGAACTCACCTATTTATCTATCTCTGATCGCTCGTTTCCATTTTGACCTTGTACAGAAGCAGGGGGCCCATGGGCACATGGATGGCATGGGCCAACGAAGACCCATCCATGATGCCGTGAAAACGTACCTGCGCCAATTTTCAAGAACCTTTAAATGCACTGTTCAAACATTCTGTTGATCTGACCCAGCACTTCTTTTCAGTGATGGTCTAATCTGCAGTAACACTAAAGTGCTAATGCTCACCGCGAATAGCCTGAAGCCAAGCTCCACGGAGCAACCTTCTTCCCATTGTGGTAAGCTGTGTGAACCCTACGGGGCGCCGTTACTGAGTGAACCTTTCCACTCCTCATCGCAGGAGTAATTTCTCTGAATTCTTTCTGAATTGTACGGCTGAATTTTCCTGCTCGAAATCAGCTTGCCTGAATCGTTTCACCCTGTACACGTGAATCTTACTGCAGAGTTTACTGGAATTCTCACTGAAGCTTACTGCAGAGTTCAACTGAATCATGTCTCACCCCGGAGATGTTTCCACGTTCCAATTTTTTCACAAAGCGCCGATTCGGCTTCTCGGACAGTGCCTATGGGCCCGTGCCGTTCGCTCGCAAAAGCATCCACCCTACCCCGCACCCTGCACCTTTGCTTGTTTTTCCTTGCCTTTTCGTTTGTCTTGATCCTTCCTTCAGGCTTTTTAGGTATGATCCAGGCTCGTTTGGTCAACGCACGCCCTGCCCCCCCGCACCCCCTGCACCTTTCTCTTCTTTCTTCAGGCTGGTTAGGTGGCATCCAGGCTCGTTTAATCAATGCACGCCCGAACACCCCTTCACCCCCTGGCGAAAAAGCAGAAGAAAAAGAAAAAAGAAAAGGAAAAAGACAAGGACAAATGGCTGAAAAAGAAAAAGCAAAAAGAAGCGGTCAAGCACACCTAGCGCTGCAGCATTGCAGCCATTCAAAAAAGACAGCTTGCGTTGAGTTGTGCCTTGAATAGTACTAGATGCGCCGTTTCGGCTTCTTGTGTGTGTCAACCCCTGTCTCGAAGGGAACTAACCTATCTATCTATCTCTGATCGCTCGTTTCCTTTTGACCTTGTACAGAAGCAGGGGGCCCATGGGCACATGGATTGCATGGGCCAACGAAGACCCATCCATGATGCCGTGAAAACGTACCTGCGCCAATTTTCAAGAACCTTTAAATGCACTGTTCAAACATTCTGTTGATCTGACCCAGCACTTCTTTTCAGTGATGGTCTAATCTGCAGTAACACGAAAGTGCTAATGCTCACCGCGAATAGCCTGAAGCCAAGCTCCACGGAGCAACCTTCTCAAGTGTGTGTTGGGGCGGGGTTCTGGGGTTTGGGGGGTTCTAACTTCCACTGGGGCTTTTGGTTTTGGATGAGGTGAGTGATTGTCGTGGGAGTTGTCAGCCAAGAGCTGAAAGGGAGGGGAAGACATCATTGATGTAATCTGTTGTTGTTTGTTGTTGTCTTAATATGTCTTTATCTTTTTCAGTGTTGTTGGTTTATGCTTTTGTTGGGCAGGATAAACCTCCACTCCACTCACAATGATCACTGGACATCATTGTTTTTGGTCTGTGCAGAATGCATAGAATGTCACGGAACCTCGGCAGTCTTCAGGGAGAGACGGTGGCATCGGTCTACAGCTTTTGCAGCCGTTGTAGGGCTAAAAAACAAAAACCACTTGCATCAGTCCAAAACGAGTTACCTCTTGAAGAAATGTGAAGCGTTACCTTGTTTATAACTAGTCTGAAAGGGTCGCCTCCTGCTTGTTCTATCGTCTTGTTACTTGTTTTCTGTTTTTTCTGCTTGTGTATGACTCGTTCAGATTTCTTGTACACCTTTCCTCGCCATGACTGCGAGCTGTGATCAGGTTACAGTAAATATTTGGTGGCCCGCAGCCATGGTTGCTTTCTCAATCGAAATCCAGGACACCTTGCTCCTCCTGCGGGCTGCGCGGGCTGTCCACCTGCCGCGCACTGTCCATCCCCAGCGGTCCCTCCTCCTCAGCTTCCGCAGGGTCTTCGCTGGAAGAGCGAGCACTTAAAGAGATTGGCATGAGCCCCGTGGTGAAGGAGCGCGTGAGATCCCTCGTGGCCTCCTTCTGCGCCTTCCGCGCCTGCAAAAGAAGATGCTTTTCACTAAAGGGCCGTGGGGTTGGATGGGAGGAGGAACCTGTTGGGGTAGGTGAGTGCGGTATGAAGCCTGTCCAAGCGTGAAGAAGTTGCGTGGAAGCACTCCAAAGTCGGGGGGAAACTTGTGTGCAAGATGTTGTTTGTCGGGGCCAGGTAAAAGAAAAAAAGAAAAGAACCGAGGTGAAGAGCAACTGTTTCCAATCAAACTCTGACTGCAGTAATCTCGACACCGGATTAATAAACGGGGACCCCCCTCCCTTCTAAGTCAACAAGGTCAACAAGGTCTGAGATTGGAGGTATCTGAGGACCACATCCCCCCTAATAAAGGCGATGACCTGATGATGGATGATGGTTGATATGATGCTAAGTGAACACTGAGGCCTGTGAGAGGGGTACCCTTTGTGAGCTAGAAAACGTTAAGATGTTGATAGAGTTTTAATAACGGAAAATAGAAGAGTTTTGCTAGAGATGTTTTTAGGGACCAAAGGATATTGGATACGAGCCAAAAGAAAGTAAATAATACATAAATATAAAACCAATTACAGTATTTGTTTTTTCTGGGGGAGCTGGGATTGATTAATAGGGGGAGGTTTCTGGTAGAGGAAAAAAGTATTAGGGTGATGCCAAGGTGGAAATCTAGGTGTTAACTTATATAGTTTAGTATTGGGGGGGTCGAGCTGGGATTGATAAATAGGGGGTGGTTTCTTAATCCATCTTAATCCTGTGTCAACATTACCCTGTTGAACAGTACCCCGTCAAAGCCACGGTCACCAACCTTTTGTTTCTTCTCCTTCTGTAAACTTCACAAGGAGGCGTGCTACGGGTATATCATGGTATATCGACAGCCCACAAATACGGGGTGTTGTCCATATCGGGTGAGTAGTACTCTCCCTCCGCCGCCTGCCTAGACAGACGGCTCACCACGGGCCAAGGGGGAGACCAACAAGAGTCTCGACCGGGAGGTTTCTCCCTGCTTCTTCCTGAAAAGAGGAACAGAAAGAACTCTATTCGCTCGGAGGTGAGGTCTACCAGGAGAGTTCCCCGGGATGTGGCGCGCGTTCTCACCCGGGTGCACCGCCCAAATGCGCCGCCTGCATGATTTGTGTCTTGCTGGGCTGCTTCTCCAAGTCTTCGTCCAAGTCTTCAGGGAAGTCTGGCAGTTCGTTGGTGATCTCCACCGCCTGGCATCGGAGCTTTCTTCGGCCGGAGCCTCAGAATCAGCGGCAGCAGAATCAGCGAAAAGACCTGGGGTCTGGGGAGGAGATCCGGTGAAAACTGGCGGTCGCGGATTTCTTCCTTCAAGAGAATCTGCTGGATCTTCGGATGTGTTCACAGCTTCGCCAGCGGGGTGCCACAGGAAAGGCCCAAACAGCTGCGAGCTTCCGAAATGGTAAAACCATGGCTTTTTCAGGATATGGAGCCTGATCAGCTGTTCATACCTTGCAGATTCTCCCGGCTTTTTCACAGCCTACAGTGGTTTCAGAGGTTCGATGGCACCAAACCACAAGACAAAAACTCGGGACCGGGAAGACCGAAAGATGGACCAGAAAGACCGAAAAGGACACGGGGCAGGATCATGTAGCGGAGGCACCATCTGTATCAATGTGTATTGCCTCCATCGAAGTGGCTACCACTCTTAACGAAAAACCGTGGTTTGCCGTCTCTGGAGACATCCATTGGGATCCCCTATATAAGTACTACACTTATCTACCTCATATTCCTCCAACTTCCTCAGTGCCTTCCCTGTGCATTTAGCAGCATTGAGCTGTTTTATAGAGATCGTCGAAAGCATGCAGGATCTTCGTGCTTCCTTCATGCTCATGCTCGTGCTTCTTTCTCGTCCGCCAGTCAACCCGCCTCTGGGACCTCATCCTCAAGCTTTTCTCCAGCCTTCTCCACCTCTTCCACCTCTTCCTCCCCACTCGATGAGCTCTCGCTACTGGAACTACTCGCCATGAGCTTCGCGATTCGCGGGCGACCGAGCGGCGACCCGAAGGACTCAGAGCCGCACGCAGATCGTACCGCTTTCCGCACGCCGAACAGTTCATGAGGGTGGAGCACAGCCGAACACACTTGGCAGAAGATGAAAATGACGCTACTGACTGTACCCCTGAATCTGACCTCGACTTTTGATGTCTTTTGTCCAGTTCCTCTATTCAACCATTCCATGGCTCTTTTGGTATCTGGCACCTTCTGGGACAGAGATGGAATGATACGTATATATCGTTGAACGGAAGCTTGAGCCACAGTGGTCGCTGTGCAGGTCCCCAGGTGACCGACTCACACGGCACATGAAGGACGGAGCCGAAGAACCCTTGGGCTCGTTGGAGAACATCGAGGTGATCCAAGGCCCTTCATATCGGTTTTAATCAAAAAGATCATGAGAACTCCGGGGTTCGGCCAATGCTCTGGATGATTTCTTTGGATGCTCTTAATGTTCTGCTCAAATGGACGGCAACCTACAGTCGACTATCCATGATGTGAGTTTCAAAAAAGTATGACTTCCCCCCCCCAAACCTACGATCCTCACTTCCCTGCAAAAATACAATCTTCTTTTGCTCACAACTTGTACGGAAATCAAACGAGATCGATCCCAACCCCTGCACAGAGCCCCCGGTCGTTGGAGACCCCTGTGTGGTTGGACTGGACATCTGTCTGAAGTCCGGAGCATGAGAAACACCAGCTCAGCAGAACGCCAAGAACTTTTTGAGACGTCTATGGCCGGAAGTCCTGGGCAAGGTTTGCCAGAGACTTAGGTGCCTTTTGAGCGATTTGCAGCCATCCTGTGATCGTTTTCTGTGGTTGCACAACCGTCCTCCATGAAATTTGGGGACAAAGGTGCAGCCGTACTGGAAGCTGGAAGCGGAACGTTCCCTGTCCGTTTCAAATGGACAGGCTGTACTGTATTCCAATTTGGGTTGCGGATGTGTTTCTCCCAAGCTGATTTCCTGAATCAACGCTGAATCATGCTTGAATGGGCCACAATGTGTTTAAGTGTACCGCAAACCGGGCGGGAAAATCCAGAGGATCAGAGATCTCTAGACCCACCTGAGGAACAACTGCGGTGTTGCACGGCCAAGGAAATATTCTAATATAAGTGGCTTGAAACTCCTGGGGAGAGGAACGAAACAGGGAACAGAATCCTCAAAAAAGATTGTAAAGCGTAGGCAGTGATGAACCATGATGAACCATTCATCCAGAATCAGACTATTTAATACTATTTATACTTGATACATACAGTAATCATAGGTCATCCTGTTTCTATCTAATTCTGCATTCCTTTGCATTCCTTTGGATTAGTGCGACCAAAAGCTGTGCGGTTTTGCAGGGGTCCTGACTGACACCCGAGTGAAACTCCAAAGTGAAACTCCAAAGAATGTGCTCCTTCAAAGTAGTCTCTTCTTGGGGGGCGATTCTGCACCAGAGCAAGATTCTTCGCCTTCGCCTGATCGCGGAGGTTAAAAACCCAGGGGTGTGAATACCACCCACATTCAGGTAGACCTACAACCATCCGAATGAATCTGAAACCATCCGAACACATAACACATGACTAGCGATGACCTGTCCCTGGCCGCCCACCTTTGAGAACACGACTTTGTGTGCCAGGTATCTCCTGTCAGTCAAAGAGTGTGATATAAATTCTGTACCTTCGCGTCGCCCTGGCTTCGGCCGAGAAAGCCTGCAAAGATAAGTCAGGCAAGCCATCAGGCTCTGGTCCAAGGCTCGCAAGACCGCACCCCTCTTGTACCAGGCGGGAGGACCAAATTCCGGGTCAGATTTCTGGCAAAAAGGCCGAAACCCTCCTTCTACTAAACAGGTTGCAATTTGTAATCCCCTCCAAAGCATGCGTTGTAATACAACGATAAACAGATCGGAATACAACGTGGTTGGCATGCACACTCACTCACACACACACACACACCACAGAATACATCCACCATGCAAACAAGTGAAGACAGCTCTCACCCATCCTGGACTTCAGAGGATTTGCCGGATAAAAACTGTAAAAATATGTAAAAACAAACACAATCCTGTCCAATCCTCCTCTCGATTGGCGGCACTGGTGCTTTGCGCTTCTCTGTGCAATTCAGCAAAGCTACACATCCCGCTAGTCATCAAACAGGTTGGCATATTCTTCCACATCAAGCAACTGCGCATGCTTTCCCTGACGACTCCATTCCAAAGCGCCACCATGGAATTTGGAGCGCCGATGCCGTCGTGCATCTCTTTCTTCCAGCAGCGTCTCAATTGAAGGCTTCCGTTCTTCTTCCTGGATCAATTGCAGAATTAGCCCTGGCTGGACGCTGGAGTATTCTACTGAAGGATACTCAAAAGTTGCAGTTTCCCAGGAAAGCAGGTGTTACAGCAAGCAACCATGCATGTCAACGTGTACTAACTTTGTTTTCTTCTGCTTCCATCTGGTCCAACGACATTGGCTCAAATGTTTGAGAGCAGGATGCTTACAGTAAATGTCTCGTGGCTCATGCCCCCGCCAAAAAGATAAACAGCTCACCTGAATGAGTGAGCAAACCAGGTTGCCAAATTGATGGAGGTTTTCTGGCCCTGGCCCTTTCTTTCCCAAGCCACTGGCTGGCTGGCCTTCTTTCACCGCTGGCCAGCTGAAAATCGTTCGGAAGAGCGACCAGGAGCTTCGAAGGAGAGGCAGCACTTATGTCTAAGAAAAGTCCCAGTTCAGTCGATTGCTACAGTAGTCGTTGCCAATATGATCCACACACCCCTTTGCCAAGCATCCAAGATCCTCGGAAGGCGCATCACATGTCGGTCACTGGAGGCCGCCACTTGAGCCCGCTGGAACCGCCACTTGGGAGCTGGGCCAGTTGGCGGAATCGGAACCAAGTAAGGTCCACTGGCAGTACTCATTGCCTCAGAGGCGAAAAGCCGAAGCACGAAATCGATGGAGGTCCCGGACCTTCGGAGGTCGAAGCTTCCGTCCCTGTGGGACCGTGGGGATCCATTTCCACCAAAGGCAGGGGAAAGAGACCAAAGGACAAAGAAAGGACCTTGTCGCAAATCCAGCTTGCTCGTCTCTTCAGGTAGTAAACAAAAAAGCACTCTTGAGCCTGCCTGCAAAGGTCAAACATATCACAAACATGTCATGTATCTTAAAAAGGCAGTTTCCCTACCACGAGGCATTGGCATGACGAACCAAGCAGCTACAGAGTGGTTTGCTGCTGACTTTCCCCATTGAAAAGGTGAAGATGGATACCCCGCAGCTCGCAACCGCAAGCTAGTACCATGAATCAACACCATGTTGGCGACTGTTTTTGATTCGTTTGGCTCCACCACGCATGGAAGTGGTCTCAATACCTCAACAGCGCACCCTCTTCGTGGCTGGGATCATCCAAAGACATCTAGACTCATTCGCACTGAGCTCCTATCTGAGCTCCTCTCCGCCACCGGGGCCAGCAGCCCAGCACCGGAGTGGCGCCGGCAGGATGGGAGTGACACCGGCTGAAGCAGGCGCTGTAGTTGCTTTGGAGGGAACATACACGTACACCCCGGCAGACGATCCCATGGACCGACCAGAGAACCTCAGATCATGGTTTGGACCGACCATGTTCCCAAGACCAAGCCAGTGGTTTTGGGGGTCCATGTGGTCCTCTGCTGGGAGGTATATCATATATCTCAACATCTGGTGCTTCCTTCTTCAGGAGCATGGGATGAACAGTTCTCTCGCCAGATCGAGGTCTACCGCGATTTTCAGAACCTCCCATGTCCAACCCAATCAACACATGGGGCCCTTCGCCCACGTCGGCAAAGACCCCATTTGACCCAAGCCCAAAGCGCTGAATGATAAGAACCGCAGCAGCTCGAAACAACACCGATCTTTTCCGAGTGCCTGCCGATGCTTCGCATGCCTTCTCGGAGATCAAAAGCCTCCGACGACCAACGCCTAGCATCGTCTAACTATTAACTATCAAAGGCACTGCTGCGCAAGAGCCTGGCTGTTCAACAGCCGAGCGGCTGGTGCGGCAGCTGCCTCAAAGCTAGATGCAAACTCTTCCCCCCCGTGAACTCCGGGCTCAAATCGACATAAATCGACGATATGTTGCTATTTGTTCACCACCACTTGGGATTTGAGCCTGGCATCCTGGAAGGAGCAAAACTAAAGAGTGAGAGCTTCGGGATTTGACAACCCCGAACTTGGCAGCAGCTTACCGTTCGTTGTTGCGTGAACGAACGTTCGTTGCTGTCGCGGTGCCTTCTTTTGGTGGGTCCCTCTTGCTGTTGGCCACAGAACGAAAAGCAATGAAAAACCTGCTAGGTGTTGACATCTGTCCGTCGTCCACACTGTTTCATGTTGCATGTTACCAAAAAGTCCCACGACTTTGGCCGGTCCAACTCAGTTGACACGAGTCTGCCAGCAGTCGTCTGCCAAGTCCTTTGAGGGATCAACTGGGATTAACGGGAAACCGATGGAAACCTCAAGTGCGAATCCAATCTAAGTCTAAGAAAGAGATGCGATGATTTGGAGTGGTGGGCTCTTTTGCCGGATGAACAGCGGTTTTGGTTCCGGTTTCCTATTTCTGAAACATATCCATCCGTGATCATCCGTGTGTGCCTCACCAGCCATGGTTGAAATACTGCCTGGATAGTACCAGGTGATAAGAAGGTCGTCTAATCATTTCCAAAACTCCCGGCGCACGCCTATCAAAGCGACCGGGATGACTAGATCGACACAAGAATGTCTAAAGATGGAGCTCAAATAGCTTTTCATCTGTTGCCATAAGTTAAAACTCACGCAATTAGTGCGTTTTTGGCAACTTGAATTGGGATCTTTTCCGTGAAAAGCTCCTATTCTATCCTATTCTCGCTTCTCATGAAACACTATCAGCTTCTTGGGACTCTCCCTCACTTTTCAGCAAAGAGATTTGCATATTCTTTGACATCAAAAAGCTGCGCCTCCCCCACGGTACGGCTCCACTGCAGTGCCCTGCCATGGAACTTCGAGCGACGCTGCCGCTCGAAATCTCTCTCGTCTTGCATCTTCTGAAGTGAAGGTGTCGTGGCATCATCCTCAAGCATACGTCACCGGAAAGCGATCCGGAACGATTGGGTTGCAGAAATTGTGCCTGTAGACTCTTCGTCACATACATTCCAAAAGCTTCACCATAAAGACGACCGCTAGAGAAAGCTTGCCTGTGAGGGGTTGCCTGCATGTGACGGCTATCGCAACTCACACAGCCAGGAAGAGAGCGTTCGAGCAGTTTCTCGAAGCACGAAATTGCAGCCAGGAAGATCCAGGAAGGGATTATATACCAGAAAGAGTCCTCTAGATAGAAGTCCTTTATATACTATAGAAGTCTATTACACAGAAGTCCTTTATACATGACATGGAAATACCAGATCTATCCAGATCTGCTTTATGAAGTCATGCCTTCTCACATCAAATACGCCCGTCTCCAACATCCACATCCCACCGTTCTTCGGAACTCGCCTCCGGACGAACCGCCGACGAACAGCCGACGAACTCGTCACACCGAGGACGGACCGAACCATGTTCCTTGACCAACAGGGTGGGCCGGGCCCATCCGCTTCCCTGTGATGCGTTGGGAGTGTAACTCTCAAGTTTTGTGGAGTCCCCTTTTTGCATGAGAATCCCTGAACTCACAAACATCCCTCCGGGCCAAGCGTCCAGACTCCGCGGTAGGCGCTTCACGGTCCCTTCCAAGGCCTTTTCTCGGTGGAACCGCAGCTTGGGTGCAGGGCCCGGTGGAGGGCGGGGGACCAAATGCTTTCCCTCCATGGCACTCATCGCCCGACCCGTTTGGGAGCAAAACAAGGCCCAAGATCTAGCCCGTTTGAGATGCTCGCCCGTCCCCAAACGCCACCTTCGCCAGAAGGGGAAAATCCACACTTCGCTTCAATCCGCGTGTGTCTATGTGTGTCTTCGGTAAGCAAATACACTTGAGCCAGGCAGGCAGCAAAAGCCAACACCAGTCAAAACGCAAGAACGCCGGCCACAAGGCTAAGTGTCCGGCCGGACTACATCGACATGAGATTTCCACGTACCCCCAGACATGGATGTAAAATCTCTTCGGGGTTCATCAACAGTCTACATTAAAAGATTATCTTCAAATGTCATCAAATGTCCGCATTCCAACAGTTCTACCTTCACCCTGCTCAAACGGGAGCAACTGTGAGCGGAATCCTTCTTCGCACCCGTATGATCCTTGAAAGGCCAACTCTGCCTCCGCGAGTCCGTCGCAAACATTTTGCTCTGCTCCGTGAGTCTATGCAGGTCAGCCCCAACAGGCAACTGCCAGCAGGCTTCCCCTTTGGAACGGCAGATTGGACCAGCTACAGCTCAGTCTAAGCACTGAAGAGACAACAAGTCGAATCCACATGAATCCATTGCAACGGTTTATACAAAAATATAGTTAACTAAATATATTCTGAGCCGCTTTCCTTGGAAAAGGCTTGTCAAACTTTCCACCAGTTCATTGTTTAGGAAAGCATTGTCACTGACCCTAGGTTTGAAGGAAAAGGGAATATGAAGACATCTCTACCAAGACCATCCTGTTTGGGTGTCGAATGGACTACCCTACCCTACCTAAGGATCTCCAGCCAGGACACCTATTGGATGGTCCAGGTACATACCTCTCGGCAGACTAACATGAACTCCCAATCCAATCACCAAGTTGAAGCCACGGTTCCGAAAAGCGAAGAATTCGAGTGAAGAATTGAGTGAATCATTTTTCGCTCTCCCGTGCTTAGGAATCCAGCTGTGATGTGTCCCACCTGGACCCATCCAGGTTTCACCAGCTCGCACAGGGAGCTCAAAAAGCTCGCTCGCCCACCACGGTTTCTACTCCTCCATTGCTCAGGCATTGAGCTTGCTTTCCTCAGGGCGCCAAATGCTCCGAAGGAGATTTATGTTTTTAAAAGCTTGTGAGAGACACCCCTCCTCCTCCTCCTCCTCCTCCTGACCCACAGGAGTCTGGAAGCTGGGCAAGGCCCTTTCCTCTAAGCTGGGGCGTTGGGAGGTGTGACACCAGCACTGGACAGGGGGCCGGAAGTTCGAGACCAAACATTGACGTTTTTGGGGACACTCTAGCTGTTGACGGTTGACAAGTAAGACCCCCCCGTATGAAGAGGTTGTTCAACCCCAATGGGGGCGGTCATTCATCAGCCAACACTCTAGGTTATAGATGCAAATGGCAGTTTTTTCTTCTGGACTTTGCTTTGGGCTCCCCAAAGCCAAAACACTCACGAGCGTCAGAATCGAGAGAGAGAGAGAGAGTTGATTGTTGTCTTACGGAGTCAAGAAGGGCCACGCGGCCACGACTCCCAAAGATCTCACTCTCTGTTGCCATGGGAGACTGTTGGTGCTTACCATGGTGAAAGCCATTCACGGCCACAAATTCTTTGGGGTGATGATTCTGGACACAAGTTCCCCTGATGCTGCGGCTCAGGAACCCTGTTGGGAACAACCGTGGGGCCCGAAACTCAACAGCACCAAAGCCAATAGCGTCAAGTGTTTTTTGTCCCCGACCCCAAACACCTCGAAAAGATCAAGCCAGGCGCCCCCCGGGAAAAAAGACAGTGAATGACAGTGATATGTTTAAAAAAAGGTCCTACACTCCGATTCACTAAGATGGAAATGGAATAAATTACCTGTTAGGAAAAAGGAATGTCATCTTCCCATCCACTTCCGTGATGTGTTCGTTGGAGGGTATCCAACAACTAGTAACAAGAACAGCTTTCTAGTAACTAAGGACGCTACGAACGGGGCTCCTGGCCTCGCTCGAACGGAGCGATCGGACGCTGCCAAGGTCGGACTCCAAGGTCGGCCACCCCCAGCGACGTCGGGGCGATCCGCTCATTCCGGTCACTCCGTCCTTTGGACAAATCGAGGGGTCGATTGGCTCGCGTATACCTACCTGCACCTGCAAAGGGGGTGTCCTGTCTGGCGGGGATTCGAGCCTGGTGAGCCCTTTGCAGGAAGGTGCCGATATTGAATCCTTTGCAGGAAGGTTCACCTGGGGGACTCTCCCCTCTATTCAACGCTCCAAAGGCCGGTGCCCCAAACACCGCCGCAGCCGCGGACCGGGATTCCGGGCGATGTGATCCGCCAGGTCCTGGAGCAGCGGCGGCACCGGGTTCACGCGGACGCGTCCAGGTGAGACCATCGGCCGGGCAATGACCCGGAGGGAAAGAGAACCAACATGTTTAACATCTTTAAACGTCTTTGTTTCCTTTGGATCCTTTTGGTCCTCCTTGTGTTTTTCCCATGTCAAGTTTTGGGCACCACCATTTATATATCGAGACACATGCCATATCAACGTCACAGCGCAGTGCTTCCGTCCCATCACCAGCCCTGAAGTGTTGCCTTGCCAAGCAGTGCGATTGCGAGACCGGGACCCTGAGGGACCATGCCGCTCTGTACCGACGCCGTGGCACATCAGTGATCTCGACGCCGCTTGCTGTACCGTGGTCTCTTTCTCGGTGGTGTCCACTAGATTCTAGATTTTCACAGACTCATGCCATGCTGGGATCTGTGGAATGGGTCATTCTTCTATTGAACCCCGTTTTCGGAGATTGGGGGATTCGGGATTCATTGGTTGCTTCTTTTGACAATATAGCGTCTGTGGAGTGTGAAGGTGATAAATTTGATTATCCACTTGATGAAACCCAATATCCTCATGCGGGGAGATATCTGAAGGAGAAATGTCAAAGGCCATGCAAGCGCTGCAAGCGCTGCAAGCGGTCGGTATTCAGGTTGTACAAACCCGCCCCCCAAAGGGTCCAAGCATGACTTGCGGGACGTGGAGTGGAAAAAGACCATAATGACACTCCCGCGAACTTCTCCCAGGACGAGGTTCCGGTATAAATGGGTGAGCGATTGTTCCTGTGACCTCAAACCCCCCTCGCCACGCACCATAACCCCGTTCCCGTGCCGAGTCCGCCACAGCCCTCCACGGCGTCCATCCAGCCATCCACAGCCATGGGCCGCCCTCCACGCGGCCGCCCTCCACGCCGGCGTCGGGTTCCTTCACGCTTTGGAGCTCCATGGGCATCGGGAAGTTGATCCAGGTGCCTGCCAGAATGGTCACCAGCTCCAGGCCAAACTCCTGCAGTCGATCCGGGTCGCCGGAAGAGGTCACGGACAAGTGGCGGTCTGGCAAGGCCTGTGTCATCGAGAAAGGTCTGCCATTTTAGCTGCAGATAGTGTATGCATCGTTGGAAGATGTGATGCAGGTAGTGTATGTGGGTTGTTTGATTCTCAAGACCCCGCAAGACCAAACCCTCCCTCGTCATCTCAAAGACAACGACCGACTCATACCTCACTCCGCGGAGGGATCGGCTCGTGCTCCTTCTCCAGGGCCATGGCCAAGTCGGCGACACGCTGTTCACCTAGGAACACATTTTTCGAACTGGCAGATATATCTCTGAGACACTCCCTTCATGGGACTGACAGATATACCCACACATGGGGGGTGGTTGAAAGGGGAGTGTTCTCCCCATGACTTTTCGCGATGCCAGCTTCTTTTCATATCTTTTCTTTTCGGAGTCACTTTTGAGTAGTCCGGTCGGTTTGGAGATTCCGCTGCTGGAGAGTGATATAAATATATGATATGCCAGACCAAGACTTCTTTCTTGGACTGGCCTACATTGAACCCCGTGTCAAACCCTTCCTTCCCCGGTCCCGTGTCAAAACCGGCTCCGAGCCTTCCGGTGGATCCCAAGAGGCCTCCGTGCTCCGCCCACTCCGTGGATCCCATCTCTCAGTCGACAGAACCAGCCAACAAATGGATTCCCAGAAAGCAGTCTGTGAACATATCTGGTTTGGCTACAGGATCCATCTGAGATGCATCAAACTTATATACAATATGCTCATATGATATCAAGATGCTATGATTGGTGGCTAAGATGTATTGCTATTGTACCAAACTAAGATGTATTCAACAATGACAATCTCATCTCTAAAGCCACCACCTTTGTCCTTCGCCAGGTGGCCGATGCTATGGGTGTGACCCTCCAACACAAAGCCCGCCAGCGGCAGCAGCGTCTGCGGGCTCAGCGTCTCAGCGCCAAAGGAGGCGAAGACCTGCTGCACCTGAGGCGGAGCTGCTGGAGCTGGCCCAACGGGATGGACTGGATGTTTGGGGTGTATTTCCCGAACCGACTGGAAGTCGTTGCCTGCAAGGTCGAAACCTATCGTAGTGCACCATAGTGCACGCATATGAAAAACATCCTACGAGATCGAAACCTTTTCCCAGGCAACAGGTCGACCGCATGTCGTTTTCCCTTTTGCATTGAAGATCATTGAAGCATGAACTGTGGTGGGGAGCTAGCTGGCATGCTGGAAACACATCCTCAAGCCCTTCATCCACTTGGATATTTATAAGATTTTATAAGGGAGATCTCTGCGGTGAATCCTCTCCTACTGATCCTCCAATGGACAAACATGCCAATGACACGTGCACGTCTCCAAACGGACGGTACAGGCGTGTCCTTCGACAACGGACACCGGTCCGTCCGCCGGTATCCGCCGGGTTCTCTGATGGAGTGGGGCCGAACGCGCCGAATTCGTGTTCGGCGCTGAAAAGAAGGTTAGGAGGGTTTCCACCAAGATGCCCCTGGTTTCTTTCACCATGTCTTCCCCCTCCAAGCATTGGACTCCCATGTATGAAAAGACATCCAGCATCTCCGGCCTCTCCCTATCAAAACTACGGCCCCCAAAGCAAACCATCTTACTGCGCCAATGTCGACTTCGCTTTTCCGCTCGACTCGCGATCGAGTGGCTCGGGCCAATGTCTCTGGAGTCGCTGGGTGGGTGATCCTGCGGCGAGCAGCTGAAGCAAAAAGCCGCTGAAGCCGCTGTGGCTGGGGGCGTAGTATCGAATTAGTGTTCTCCTTGTCATTTCTTTTTTGTTGTCTATTGTCATATGCCATCTGATCTCTGGAGGTTCTGGAGTCTATTGGCATATCTTAGTTTTAGAGTACAGTAACTGTGCAGTTGTACTGCAATTCTTACAGTATTTGTTATGGATTTGTTATGTAAGATTCTGTGATTGGTATGTCTCACAGTAGTCGAGCTGTGAGAAGGGGAATTCGGAATGACTGAAAGCGGTGCAAAATTTCATTGACCGCAGAGGTCCGCAGTTGTCTGATGCAACTTGTGCCGTCGTTGCGCATGTTGCTCCTCATCTTTGAGTATTCGGGTCTAGCTGGGGTCCTTCCTCTCATACACAGGGCGATCAAGATCCAGGTTAGTGGACGAAAACACTGCAGAAGGCGGGCCACCTTACTGATCGATTCTGATCTGAGCATATCTCAGCTCCCTTTATTCAGAGTGACTCCTGACTCCTACCCTTTCAACTGACAAGCTCAAGTGGAATTCATGTCCAACCCAGTGATGTTCAGCAACGTGCACCATTCCCAGTCGCTCCTGGTCAGCCGCGCTGTCTTGCGCAAGTTTGGGGCCCGAACACTCGAACAGTAGCCCACATCCTCAGCGAGGAAGAATGTGATCAGCCCCGATTCCGCAGGGCGAATGTCTAAGATCTGTATTAAATTAATAGTTTCAGTTTGAGATACAAGTAGCTCAAGGATGGTCCATTTCTCAGCATTCACTGGTCTTTGGTCTCTAAATAAACTAAGGCGCTGTGTTTGGACACGGCGCGGTTGTCTCGTTCCCGCATTCCCTTCATGAAAGGACAAAAGGCTCCAAAGGCTCTGGAAGGCTCTGGAAGGCTCGGTTTGTGTTTACTCCGGGGAAAAACACCCATTGTGGACACGTGTTCATGGCACCTGTCAACACCTGGATCCTTCTTCGAACTCCTGAAAGCTCCTTGCATGTGTTGTTTCATTCAATCAAGCACGTGTTCGCCCCTCCATCCGACCACCGTCTGCTCCTCCATCCACCCCACGGACGGCTGAAGCCACGGGCACCACGCGCCCGTTCCGCGTGCCGGCGAAGTCCGACTGCTCCAGCGGCTGATGCGTCACGGAGGGCGGCCTCGCGAGCACCGCTTGGCCGGAGCTGCGCGGAGCTAAGGCGGGGAGCTAAGGCGGGGAGCTAAGGCGGTGCAGTGGAAGAGACGGAAGGGGGACCGGGGACCCAATATTTTGGGAGGAAGACGCAGAACCAGGAAGCCCAAAGTTGGTGTGATGGTGCGCAGAACCAAGATCTCATCAGCAAAGAGCAGATAGAAAAGACCAATATGCGAAATGCAGGGTCCGGATGTGTGCGAATGGTATGGTTTTGCTCCGCATAGCTTTCTTCCATCCACAGTTGCATTCTAGACCCCATTGATTGAATGGGTGCCTATAACCGTATATAACTTTCAATTTCCAGCATTTTAGACTACGAACCATTGTTGGCTCTTTGTATCCCAAATTCTTGCCGGACCAATTTCAGTCTGTTTTTGACCAAGCAGTTGTTTCAGCGTGATGCTCTTCTTCCCTCTTGGCAGTTTATGGCTCATAGTCTCTTTGGGAATGTGACAGCACATGGAGCGCTTTCTTGGCAGGAAACGTCCAGCCTCTGCGCCGGGGAGGAATACACATGCGTGGAGGTTTGGGTGAAGATGCTCCTGAGCCGTCCAGGCGTGGCGGCCGTCCAGGCGAGACGGCTGTGGGGCACCCCTTCGGCATGGGAGGTGCACTCAAAGTAATGGAGACTAGGAGAGCCCAAGAGGTGCGACAAGGGGATGCGACAAGATGCGACTTTATTTTTGCGGCTTTGGTGCGTGCATCCAAATGGGGGGGTGATGAATCAGGAGTCTACATGTTTGTTAGGGGGGGTTGTCTGGTGAGCCTTGTGGGTCTCGAAAGCAAGCTCAGCCGTCCTTAAAAGCTTTTGGTCACAGGGCCAAGCACTACAGGATTGGAACAGTCCGGTCAGCATGCTGCGCCCCAAGCAGGTTTGGGCACTGGCGAGCGAAGCGACTTGCTTAGCTTGCTTCACGCTCCAGGTTGGTCGCTAGGATAAGTAGGATAGTTTCAGCATCGTCAAATGCCAAGTAATGCTTTTCCGATGGCAATATATATAACTCTCCAGGGGGCCACAGGTTCACAGATGCCACATGGTCGTTTGAGATGCCACTGGTGTTTTTCACAAACCATACCAAGCCCACCCAGGAGCCCGGACACGCGAGAACAATCTCCCAACCGGCACCTGTTTTCACGGTCACCAACGCGTTGAACAAGACGATGGGACCCAACGTTTGCTTCGGAACATCGTTTTCCTGTGTCGACTCCACTTCCATGTTTGTTGGCTCGAGCTCTCTGGCGTCAAGCCTCTATATGTCTCTAATATATATATATATATGTATGTGTGTGTGTTTTTCTGTTATTTATCAACCCTAGCCCTAGCCTTCCAAAACCATCAAGAGAAAGGCTGACCTGGTTTTGTAGTCTAAGATCCTTAGTAAAACAATGGTTATTCAGTGCGGAAGGCCAGTAATTCAATGGTGGTTGGAATAGGGGTCAATGCAATTGTGGGCCTAAGGTCCCTTGGGTTCAAACCACCATCCCATCAGGTCCGCTTGTGAGATCAAACGTGGCTGCAAACAAGACTCTCCAAAGAACCCGCGTCCCAGGCAGGCGCTGGGGCTTGTCCTGCAGGGTTCAGGACCCTTTCTTGCAAATGGTGGAAATGTGGGCAAGTGCTGTCACAATAGCAGGTTTTAATTGCAGCAAACTGCAGTGCTTCGACCCGGGTCGACCAGAAATCCTTCCCATGACCAGTTTTCAAAGGGCTATAGATTCACGGGGAAAAGAAGCATTAAAAAAAAAAGTGAAAAAATAAGAAACGTATATAGCGTCAATCACAATAGTTTTTCCTGCTGATTTTCGACCCCCAACGACCAGAAATCCTCCCCAGCGACCAGCAACCTCCTGTGCTTGGCCCACGTCTTTCTGAAAGCGCCCGGATCGCACGATCCTTCAAATCGGTTCCCTCCTTAAGAAAACAGATACCGGTAGCAGGAAGGCAGTACGATACATCCTGCACTGCTGCCGCTATATTAGTCACTATTATTGTGACATCGCAGTGACCAGACAGGGCTGAAATTATCAAAACACGAAATCAAAAACACATCAAAACAAAAACGAAACAGACTCAACTCAAAAACTCTAATCCAAAACAGACCCAACAGCAAAACAACAAGAACTTAACAAAAACTCAATTTGAGCCTAACTTGATTCTAATTCTCGAGAGGAGAGGAGAGGAGAGGAGAGGAGAGGAGAGGAGAGGAGAGGAGAGGAGAGGAGAGCAGACTTTGGGTTCCTTTCACAAAAGGAGAAGTGTGAAGAAGTTGAGTGATGAAGAGAAGTGTGAAGAAGTTGAGTGCTTGGTGTCTCCTGGTATAGACTTATGCATTACTTCCATCCTGAAGGGCAGCTGAAAAAGCACCAGGCCCCCGCTCTTCCAGCGCCCAGCGTGTCCTGTGATCAGCTTTTGAGCAGCTCGTTGCAGCTCCTGACAGTTTCGTGGGGCGCCCATTGGAAGCGAATCTTTAAGGACGTGTATAATTTGGTTTCAGAGTAGATGGTGCAGACCTCAAAATGACCTTTAGATCGGGTGTCCATATACACCACCTTTGGGAGATTGTGCCATCGACTCCGAAACCACTGTAGATTGATCATGTAGACTCTTGTTGAATTTCCAACCCCCATCTGAAGAAACACATCGGTCAACTTCTCCCATCCACAGTCATTTCCCCCCCAGCTCCGCGCGGAGCCCGCGCAGGACCGCGCAGCGGTGCGGTTCCGCCCCCATCCGCTGACCCGCGCGCCTGGAACTTGCCGATGTCACCCGTGTCGGGCACATCCGGGTGATACACCTGGCGGGTGTCCGACACGCGCTCGGCCCGACCGCCGGGTCGGACTCGGGCGGAGACCGGGGGGATCGGTGTGGGGCGAACCGGCCGAGCGAACGGCCGATGGTTCCAAAACCCCAACGCCAAGGCGTTCGGCGGAGGGTTTGAGCGTTCGGGGATGTTTGGTGCGAGCGGTCTGAGTTCACAAAGGAAGATGTTCCACACATTGGATCAATCCCAAAGAAATCAAAGAGAAGTCTTTGGTCAAGTCGACACTAACTGTGCCGCAAAGTTCGGTGCCAGATGTGATCACTCTGTTCATTTCATCTTGGCATTTTTTGTAATGGAAGAACATTTCAGCGCTAGGAGTTGAAAATAGCAGTACTGTAATATATTCATTATACAGTTATCAGTTAGTAGTTATTGTTTTAAATGTTGTTTCCAGATGTTTCCAGGATACTCAAGTTCAAGAACAAAACCATACACAAAAGTAGCTTTCGGAAGAGCTGCAAAAAGTCAGCAAGACATCACCCCACTTAGGCCCTGCTAAAACTATCTGCTTTGCCCCTGAAAACACCTGCTGGGTGTTGGCCCGCCGTGTGACCAAGTCAACCTGAGTCGGCCACTTGGTCCGGCTCCGCTGCCAACTTGTTGGCCGCAGGGGTCCACGCTACAGCCCGTTGCAATGGTGGACTTCACCACCTCTTTTTCTTTCAATTCTTCGAAGAATCCCAGATTCAGCAGGTCTTTTGCTTCCATGGAACAGGACATGACCTGTCTTTCTTTTCTACACATCTCACGAGTTTTCCCCCACCCTCCTGCGTCCGTCGCGATGCGACGCCCGGTCACCCGGACCCCATCTGCTCCACCCACTCACCGTGGTCACCGCCCGGTCACCGCCTTGGCCCAGCGCCGGAAGGCGCCCCGGATCTGCTCCTCGTCGCGCGTGCCCGCCGGGAGGCCCAGCACCTAGGGACGGAGGGTGAGCCCGAAGAGGGCTGCGATCCAATCCGGCCCCCGAGGTCGGTGGACGTCCATGGTGTTCCCACTTAGTTGCTTTCGAAAGCAGGTGAAGGATCACAAAAAGCTTCCCAAAGGGCGGGAAGAAGTGCTCCAAAGAAAAAGGCGGCTCGCTTCGTTCACTTCCCTCCCAGAAATCTGACCCAGCCAAGACACATCACATGGATCTGGCTCCGCCACTGCCCGCCGTTGGCAAAGGTGCCGGGCACCTTCCAGGTCACTCGAAGGGGTTGGCGGTAACTCCTGCACAAACTCCCAGGAGGGGAAGCACATGGAGGAACACACAACCTAGACTCCGATGTCAAATGAGGTTTTCTGGACCTCTCACCAAGTGAAACCCCTGAATTGGTCATCATATGTCATCATCGATCACTTTGGGCATCTTTGAGGGCCCCTTTCAGGAAAGGATTCAATGGCTGATCATGCAATCTGCTGCCTTTCTGTGAGACTCTGGCGTGCCTTTTTTCCTAAGCAAGGGTGTGGTTTTTGAGTGGCACGCTTCGAAAAGTTCCGCTCTTGACAGCTCAGCAAAAGAGCGGATTGGAGCGTATTTGGGTGTCATATAGTGGCTATAACTCCGGTGTATTCACTGCAAGTCAAAGACTCCACCACTGGCGCCCAGCCGCCCAGTCGCAAGAGCCGAGCCGCACCTCGTCCCGCATCCCTCCACCCACCTGCAGCGAGCTTGGCCACGACAGCAGCGTGTTGCATGCACAGCTTCGCCCACGATTTGAGAGTTGCGCATTCTCCCCATCTTTGAGAGTTGATTCTTGATCTATTCAATCATTTCATAGCTCGCACCCCTGACATTTGTGCATCTCCATATGGGGGGTATCAACCGTCGACATGCGTCCTCCTCTATGTGGCGACGATGCGAACTCGCCTGTGAAGCTCTGCCAGTCGGTCGCGAACGGCGCCAGGAGGAGGACCAGACCTCATGCATGGAACAAGGAAACAAAACGATTCTGAGACTGACCCTTCCCCAGGAAGAGGAAAAGAACGAAGCATTGTTTTACTAAGGATTTTGGACTACAAAACTAAGTAAAACAGGTCAAGCATTAATAAAATTGGTCTTGGAAGGCTGGGGCCGTGAAGAATTGGAGTGGTGAGGTCATTCGTCAACCCGGGTATGCTGAGCCATCCTCACTCAAGAGCGGCCGCCGGATCATAACTCCAGGCCGTGGGTACTACGACTACTAAGCTAAAGTTGGAGAGTTTCTTTGAGTCTGCGCATGTGCGATGTGTTGGAACTTGCGACAAGACACTGCTGCGCAGCTTGTTTCCACAGACCGGCCCAAGTGAATGACAATTTGTGATGCTCACAGCTCAAAAACACCTGCCACCCAGTGGCCTTGAAATGGCTTGATGTAGAGCTAGATTGATTCTATATGGTTGTATGCTCCATGTGTGTGTGTGTGTGCGTTTTTGCAGATTCACTGTCTATCTGCTTGGGGGCGACGATAGGATCACTGAGATGCATCTAGCACTCCTCAGCGCTCTGCCTAAATCCTGGCTTTCCATCACTTTCCCATGCATTTGGAACCAAAATCAGCTGCAGCGGGTTACCCGCGTGAGGCAGCTGAGATAGCTTGACCTGTTTGACCCGTGTTTGACGCTTGCATAGGGTATCCACTTTCAGGAGCTTTCCGATGGAGGCACCCCCTTGAAATGTTCTGCTCAAAGGGGCTGCAGTCGGCTGCCAAGGAATCCCGACCTGTCCAAGGCTCGACTCCTGAGCCATTTCCCTGGAAAATGTTTAAGCGAACTGTCCATCTGTTCATATGTTTTTTTCAACACTGATCTCCAAAAGAGGTAAAAGGTTATCCAACTGACTGGGTAGGTTGACCAGTTTCGTTCGGGTTCAGTCCCCGATTTGATCCGAGTGGTGGAGTCGCGTCGATTTGTCGAGCCAGCCGAGCCGAGCGGCGAAAGCCGATCTCCCAGGGTGGAGATCTCCCAGCGCACCCACGGGCCTTTTCTTCATGTGCACACGGTGGAGTTGAAAACTCCCCAGCCACAGCTCTGCCATGCTCTGCCAGTGGATCCAAGCTGAGTAAGAAAGCCCTATTGGTTGGGATGATAACCATGTTGCCGCCCATGTTTCAACATTTCGTTGGCTACTGAACTACAAATGCGGCGGCGTTTCCACTGGCGGACCTTGTTTCTCCGACGTTGTGCCTGTCAACACTGCACTTGCTTGCCCCCAACCAGCAGGTATGTGTGGTATGTACTTTGCACAGCTGTCCTTACAAGGGGATTGGAGAGGAAGCGGAAATGAAAAATCATAAAATGAAATGATGCATTGCATCGTGGAAAAGTCCGATCTTCGCTTACACCAGTCGTCTCAAGTTCAGAGGCCGCCTGAGACCTGAGACCTTCTAAACAGCGGAGTTGTGCGCGAAACGAAGCACCATCTGCCAGATTGTTTGGCAAGTTCATGTTGTAGAAGGGCAACTGTGATCCACTGGAGCAGCGAAAAATGCAAAAAAAGACCAGAGCTGCGCGAAAAACACGAAGCCAAGCTCGGCCCTTTCGGAAAACCATCTGTCCATCGCCGAGACAGTTCAGCGGTGAAGAAGGCCGGGCCCAACTAAAAGCGGCAGAAGAGACCAAATGCAGGTCAAATAAGACCTGGTGCAGCAAAGCACCCAAGCAGGAGGAACCATAACTGCTCTTTCCAAAGCTGGAGGGAGTTTGATGTTTTTTCTTCAAACCGGATCTCCACACAAGTCAACCTTCTACACTTTCAAAGGCCTTCTACATCTGCACGACGTCCTGCGTCCCCTCTCAGCGGAGCAAGAGCGTGGCTCCGGGAAAGCGCTTGAGGTTGTACCGGAGCTCCCGGGATCCAAAGGCATTCCTGGCACCGGCGACGTCTACACGACGCACGACGCGTCGGCCGACGGTGAGCTGGAGGAGAAGGCAGGGTGAACGAGCCAACCCTCGTGAGCTGGTGAGCCGCAGACACCCTTCGGATTCATAGTCATAATCTCTTTTTTAGAGGAGCACAACTCGCGCAAAACCGTGAAACCCCCCCTGTTCATAGAACAAAAGTCTCTTCCAAAGCCCTATTTTGCCACTTCCACGTTAGTGGCTCAGCGTATAAAGCCATTCCTTTCCTTTCCAACCCCAACCATTCTCCACGCATCTCTGCCTCTCGGAGAAGATGCGCACAGGATCGTTCAGCTCGTCGAAGGCCTTCCGTTCCTGGTTTCGATCGCTGGGATGGTTGGCTTCGAGAACGTTTCGAGGGATGAATGGCCTGTTCTTTGCTCAGTTCCTAAGCATTATGTCGCTTCGTGCCCAAAAATCTAGGAACCAAATCATTAGTGAGAGCACTTCTTCAAGGGAGTTTCGTTGAAGAAGCATGAGCTATCCTGCGTCCATACTAGTAACTTAAGTAAGGTACTAGCTACCTAGCTACAGCTACCTACCTCTAACTACTACCTACCTCTAACTACTACCTACCTCTAGCGCTCCCCCCGGTATTTAAAAAAAAGGGGAATGTCTCCCATCTGTCCCTTTCCCTCAGCCTTTGCGACTTCGTTTGTGCCAAGGCTCTGCAATCCAGTACTCGCTCTTCTCCAGCTCTTCGTCTTTCAAGGGAAGTGCTGGGAGCCATTCCACCTAAAAAGTTGTTGAAAGCATTGAAAGCGCAGTTGGATTGCTGGAGATTTGTTGTCCATGTCAGATTTCAGTCAATCCGACAGAGGGTCAATGCCAAATTGCAAGAGAAAACATCTATGATGTAGGGCGTGTTTTTGCTGGGATTCACTTTCGACGAGAGGCGAGTCTCAACATGTTGCCAGAAAAAAACAGAACCATTTCTTGGTGAATCAGAAATAGGTTTATCTATCTATGTGTGAATCAGAAATCTGCCGGGCTCTCGTCAAATGTTCTTTTTGGGTGACGTGCCGTTCGTGCCGTGGCGCACGGGTGGAAAGGCGGGACATCTGCTGAATTCTCAGTTTGACACCTGGCGGATCAAAAATCAATTAGCCAAACCCTAACGTGTGGAACCCTTCGTCTTTGGACTCGGATCCAGGCTTGCCAAAAGCGAAACAGAGACTAACTAAGATACCGAGTGTTCTCGCTACCGGCAGTTCAATGGCAAATGCGCATCTTAGGCCTGTGTTCGCCGTCCTGAAGAATGCCGGCACATGCGTGTTCCTGAACGGCTTCTTTTTGTGTGGCACAGCAAGGTGAAGTGGCTTGTGGCTTGGGCTGGTCCTGTCGGAACCACGCACTGGATAGCTCGGTCGAGGATTGCATTGGAAGAGCTGCTCCATCTGGGATGTCCTATCTGAATTGGACTCTCCACTTGGCCCAGAAGTCCAAAGACTGCTTCCTTTGCACTATAGTCTATAGTGAAGTATATACCAGGACCCACAAGGGATGGTTGTATAATGGACACCCCTCAACCACTAAGAGGCTTTCAATAGACACCGGCTCCGGCATCATGGACTCCCAAGGAACTTGGCCCAGCGGACGCCCGCCCAGCCAGGCACTGCGCAGCACTGCGAAGCATTGGCGCAGATCCCGGTGCTCCACTCACGTTGACGTTCGAGCGTGGCTTGCGGAACCTGGGGAACTGGGAAGGCGTCGGAGCTGGTGGACGTGAGGACTTCCAATTGGAGTCACCGAATTGGAGCCTCGTCAAGCTATCTGAAAGGAGCTGCCAGAAGCGTCAAAAGGCGTTGTGCTCAGCAAGACGAGTGATGGAGAGTGAGATGTAGGCAAGCTCAACAGCGAGTTGCAGCCGGCTCGGCATTGGCTTCTAAATGAGTCACAGAATCCAGGGATGGTCAAGTTTGTGAAGGAGATACAACCAGAGAGTTGGAGCCTCACGAAGCTTCCTCAGGAGCCTCGCCAGCTTCACAGGCACCCTGCCCGAGGCACGGGGGATGCTCACTGCCGTCGAATCCGAGAGTTAGCTTCCGACGAACAAAGAAACTGGTCGAACGGCCCTTGGTCAATACGAATGGATCTTCTCAACCAATTGGTTGGTTTTGTCACTTCCTTGTCTGTGGAACGCGCAAGTGAGATGCTGCTGCTAGTCCTCTTTTAAGGTGTCATGGGGTTTGCCTCTTATCCCGCCTGCGTGAGATGTGGTCAAATGATATCAAATGTCGTTTTTGTTGGTGAGTACACTGTGAGGCCTTGTCTTTCGTCTTCCCATGTATCCAATCAACTTGCCCTCCCCTCTGGCTCTCTACGTCATTCTCAGATTTGTAGAGCAAACAATCCGTTGTAGAAGGCGACTGAGGCTGTCCAACAGCGCCGTAAGATGAAGCCGATTGCCCCTCCTTTTGGCCGGTCGGGTCGATCCCAGCGGCTCCGTCGATGTCGATGTCGGTTGAATGACCCAGACACGACCGTCGCTTTGGGACTGGCATATGAAACCAGGGGTCAATATGTAGGTAAATATAGGTAAATATGTAGGTAAATATGTAGGTAAATCACTCAACCACCCCGGGCCATTGCATATGTTGATTGATTGAAAAAGGGGTCCGTGTAGAATTTCATATGCCAGTCCCATGGAGTGGGTGATGATCATGACAAGTCTAGATACTGGATACTCAAGAATCAACCAGAAACAATAAGGTGTCATAACGAGAATACTTTGGCACCGGTACATGACCTTTCCCTTCAGGGTCAGCATTTGGTGAACGGTGGGCATCTATGTGCACGGCTTTCAGGCACTGGGCGGGACGGGACGAAGAAGAGTTGTTCAATGGGCCACATGGCCCCCTTTTTCCATGGCCAACATGGCCAACACGCATCTTTTGTGTCCGACGGCTCTCTGCACAGAGACCGCGATAAAACTCCGACCGGAGACCGCGCTTACCGCGCTGCAAACGGCGGATGGCTCGCCTCGAGGAGAGCGAGCTCGGTCTGATCGGTCTGATGGGAAGATGTGGTGAATGAACAGGACTCGGACCATGAGACGCTCGGAGTGTTGCACTTAACTATTTGGGTTGGCCTCCAACGTTACGAGCTTCTTGTCACTAGTACCGATGGCCTCCAACGTTCCAACGTCATGAAAAGAACAGCTGTGCCTTTGGTCACTCCATCTCACCATGACTTGTCATCGGTGTTCTGTCTTCAAGCCACAGCTTAGCGCTGCTGCCCAAGGCACGTCTTGTGGCTTGGCAGCACCTGCCTCCTGAGCCGGGAACGGGGGGAGCGCCCCGGATCCAGCCCAAAACAGGATGATGCACAGCAAAGCCCTACAGAGCGGATTCCAATCCTCCTCCGAAAATCACTTCAGAGTGGTTCCCAGCATCCAATCTCTGCTGTCCATGCAGAACTTCCTTTTGAAAAAAGCACCTCGAATCTGCCCCAAACAGGCCCGTGCATCCAATGAATTCGTCTCTTTCGCCTATTGCAACACTCAACTCGCCTTGTTGTGACCTCGCAACCCACCAATCCACTTGTTCACGAGTTCTTAGCTTTACATGCTGTACCGTACCCTTTGCCGCCGACCCATTGACCATCATCGACGAAACCAAGGCGCGTTGCAGACCTTGAAGAAGCCGTTCAGCTCCTCCAAGCTTCGCCTCAGGTGAAACGCACACCCTCGGGCTGGTTGGATGGCTGGTTGGGAGGCATGGAAGCCGTTCAGCTCGGGCAGTGCCAATTGGCACCGTAGTCATTGGGAAGTCCCTGACTGAAGTCTCGCACTCGCGGGGTGTGCTTAAGACCCAGTGGCCGGTAGAGCTTGTCTGCGGCCGCGGGATCTTTCTTGGTCTGCAAACCAACACCTGACCGTTGCGTCAGTCAGACGCGAAGCCCCAGTTTGGATGGTTCATTAATGTCCACTCATGTAGACTCTTGATAAGAGGTGTTCAATCAAAACGGGATGTTTGATGAATCAAAAGTCTGGTGTGGCACCGTGTGCTTTGTAGCACTCGAACGTAGTCTAAGTCTAACTAAGTCATCACTACTCGCAGCTGCGTACCCTCAAATTTGCCCATAGTGAGTCTCAACATGTACAGCTGGTTGTTGCTATCATAACAAAGGAAGCGTCTGAGAACAACACCCAAGAGCAAACTCATTGGAACAATTGCATCCTTGGATATTACTTAAGTTAATACAGTACAGCACATGAAGACAAACGCCTGAAGCATCTCCAAACTATAGAGGAAAGCCAAACAAAAGAGAAAGGACTGAACTCTGGAGCTAACCTCAAAATGTACATGTATGTGAAATGTCTGAACTGTAAAATTTAAACCTTGAACTCTGAGACTCAGTCCTTTCTTAACTTCTTTGCCAGCCACGCTTGGCTTGCAAACCAAGGCTTTCGACATGCGGACAGTTCTTCGTGAAAAGGTGGTGCATTGGATTTGGAAACAGGGCATCGGTCTTGCTTGGAATCGAGACTTCCAGCATCTGCATGTCAATTCAAGGTCAAACATGGAAGATGAAGAGATGACAAAGGCCAAATTCATCTGCAGGATATTCTGTCGAAAATCCAATGAACCTGCAAGCGACAAACACCATGAAAAACTCACGTCCCATCAAGACTCTCTGAAAACCTTATGCCACAAAGGCCCTACCTGATGCCTGATAAACATTCAACTACTCTGTCTCTGATCAGCTTGTGAAGAGGTCTGCTAGCACGGGCGACTGCCCCAGATCAGCCCATCCCCACTATTGGCGAACAACCCAACTTGGCAGTTGCTCGCACCCAACGCTGAACCAGCCCGGGTCTCCTCTGAACCACCGTTTCATCATCTCTGATGATGGCGTCACTCGGTTCCCTCACTCGGAGTCATGAACTGGAACGCCACGAACGGAAGTCGTCCGGCGCGACCGTCGGCCCAGTGGCCTAGCTCCTTGATCGTCTGCTGGAACTTCCCCGCCGCCTTCCGGGCATCCTCGACCTCGGTGGCTTGGGCCAGCTTCCCTTGAAAAGAAGGGTTAACCGAACGTTCCTTCTGTTCATATTATATAAGTGGGGAAGCCAATCCCCCAAAAAGGTGTTGCAGACTACCAACTTCTCCTGGGTAGGATGCTTTTTGGCAGGCGCCCCCAGATGAGGCAAGAGGCGCGGCGCTCATGGAGACTTTGGCTGTAGTACGGCAGGTTTGGGGATTTTGGGGTGCACTGCAGGACTCAAAAGAACTTGGTAGCCTCAACCTCGTGCAGACTTCCAGTGCAGATTTTCTTGGTGCAAAACTCAAACATCTGAACGAGGAACCCTCCGTGTGGTACCCCTTCTTGAAGCTTACACCAAACTCCTATCATCTGAAAGATTCTGAACAAAATCGAATTAGATCTTAAATCCACCTCCACCCCATGCGCCACCCTCCAAGACATCGTCCACGGCCCAAACCTTGACCGAGTCACGTAGCTGGCATCCGGGTCCCAAACCTCGGCTCCCACGATCCTCGGTTCCCACGGCGGGAGCGCCAAGCAAAAGCCACAGCGAGGATTGGACAGGCGGGGGGTTTTGGGTAGAATCTGTTGTGAAGAGTCTGCAACAGGATGCAAAATGTGAGTTGTTGAAGAGTGTGGTGGGATTGGGAGCGATTTGCCAACTGGACTCGGACTGTTTGATTGCAACAAAAAACTAAAGCAACTCCACTCGGAGTAAATGACCGAGAAAAAGAAAAAAAACATTAGCAGTATCCAAAATACAGTACCCTCTCCCGAACCATCACATGTTGCAACCACTTGGAAGAAGTCCTCATCTTCACGCTTGATATGACTCCATGTTGCATAGACTCATGGTGGTACAGTAGACACTCAGCTGCCCGCTGAAACGAACCTTAAGGCACCTCCCCATCCCCCCCCACCCGGATACCGGACGCGGGCCCGCCGCGCGCGGCGGCGCGCGCCGAGGCTCAAGAACATCGGCGTGGTCAATGCGCCTCGGTGAACGGCGTGGTCCAGGAGCACGGCCCGGACCGATGTGCTCGACGCGGAGGTGTTGGGTTTCCGGAAACGAGGCGGGTTCCCACCAAGAAGAAAAAGGAAACGGGTTATGATGTGGTAAGCACATCTGCACTTACACCAGGTCATATGCCGTTATCTTGTGCCTATCGCTGTCCTTGTCTTTCATGTGCTTCTCATGTGGTTGTGATTGATCATGTTGCTCCGCAAAGGTCCGTTTGTCCTTTCAACCCCATCTGAAAAGCACCTCTTCCGTTTGCTGAGCTTGGAAGAGCGTTCGTTTGGTCGATCCAGATTCCAGTTAGGTCGTTCGTTGGTTTGTTTGGGAGCCAAAAAGCGGGAGCTGGGTCGATCCGATTTTTCCCCACATAGATGTTTAGCAAACACATCGGCCCAGCAGTTATATGTTTAAGACAAGACGTTCGATTCAGTCGTTGTTTTCCTGTTGTAGAGATGGATGCAAGAGAATGAGAGTTATATCAGTCTCAAATTTAATAAGCATGCTGAGATGAAGACACTTGTCCATTAAAGATACATCGCCGACTCTTCACATGGGAAACACGTCGCAGCCCTGTCGCTTCGGCCTCCATCAGTTGCACCGACGATCCATGTTGATCAACTCTGGAACATGCTACGAGCAAGTTAACCGACTGACACATACGTTCACAGCTCTCAACCATTGGGTTTGGGTCCTTGTCTCCTTCTTCCAAGGAGGTATTTTGAGAGATCTCCCTATGCCCTATGTTAATACCACATGTTGTCACATGTTTTCACCAAACAATGGTGGCCAACCTTCCACCCGCTGAGTCGGTGGAAGGGTCGTTTGCTTCACCACCCTCTTCCCTCTCTCTTTTTCCCGGGGCACGTTCGATCTGCGAGAGGCCGCCCTGCCTGGGACCACCTGCGACCGAAAAGGGTGCGCATCGGGTGCGAATCGGGTGCGCCTCGGAGCGAGTGAACCAACGGAAATGCGTCGGTTTTGGCAAACCCTGCGACCAACGGAAACCCCGGAGGTTGAAGTCCAAAACCACCACCTATCGGATCGATCGAAAGGCTGCGGGAACTCGATGGGCGGTGGAGAAAGCCATCCTTGATGCGGTTGCGCATCCTTCATGAAATACGGCGATCAAGAATTGCGGTGGCATCTAGAAAGATGGGTGACCATGCTGGGCATATTGATCAACATCCGTCAACTACTTTATAGTCCAGACTAGGTGATGTGTAATTGTAATCTGGTTGAGCCAGTTCCTGCGAACTCACTGGCTGAAGCTGCCACTTGATCCATCCCAACCCGTCCTGCTGAGACAAGGCCCTCAAGCTCAGTGAGAGCCTCCAGGAGCTCAATTGGGTCGGTGGTGGGAGCGGCCATGCCAGGAGAATGCAGATCTGTTTGTCGCAGGGGTTTGCTGAGTCTATCTGCAGGAGGGTTTCGATTCTCCGTGATTCTTAGGAATGTTGGGGATGCCTTGGACTCTCCAACAAGTCTGGATGAGGAAGCATGAGGAAGCATGCATTTCCTCAAGTCCTCCTTTGACGATTTGTAATCTACAAAGTTGCAATATGGTTTGACCCATCCAAAAATGGACTGTCTTCAAAATGATCTTGGAGAAACCTCCCAAAATGAACGACACACTTATAACCCTGGACACACCCCAAGCTCCAAACGCCAGACTCCCAACCATGCCCCAAAAGAAGAGAAGGCGCGCTCGCGCTCTGCGCGCCTTCCCAGCGTTGCAGAGGCCACCCCCGCACTCCGAATCGGTTGCCTCAGACCGTTTCGGCTGAACGACGCCCGGCCTTTTCGACCGTCGGCTCGGTTCGGTTCGGCGGCGAAGGCGCGTGTCCGGTTCGGTCGAGCGGCAGAAGGGATTTGTGCAATCTGGTTGTATCTGGAAAATACGGGCCCAAGGAGAAGGAGGTGCTGTTTCTGGTGTTTGCCTTTTGTCTCACTCACTAGGGTATCTTGACATGCCTTGCCATGCCTTGACATGGGAGTGGGTCAACTCCAATCCAAAAAAAGACATGTTATTATACACAGACATATACATCATACACAGCGGTGCAACAACTGTATTTGTATATAAGAGAAGGACTGCTCACAGTGAAAAGCCTGTTCATTCCCCAGAAAACGCTGCCCCCCCACTGTGCTTTGGACCAATTCCGGCCTCATGTCTTCCCCAGCTACACCGGAGACTGGACACTTGCCACGTGACCACATGACCACGTGACCACATGACGTGTCACCTCTTAGTTCTCGCAGGTGAGGTGGCGGGGGGCCCGAACGCACCAGGAGTCCACCGTGGCGCACGCGCACCTTCAAGCCATCGGGGGAGTCTTCTCCACGCGCCCTGCAGAGCTCCAGTATGGGACACTGCATGGGATTTTCAAACATGACCGATGGGACTGGCAGATGTGCAGATCACTTGGTTTGGTCAATGTAGGTGTGTGTGTGTGTATCTCTATCTATCTATCTATCTATCTATCATTATCTATCTATCTCTATCTATTATATGTACAGTATATGTACAGTACAGTATGTGTATATATTCCACTCCAGTGGAGCGCTTGGGCGTGCGATGGAACCATCGTATGTTCAATGATATTTTCAGATGTGAGCGTTTGGATGTTTTCATCTGGGTGGTCTGCCTGTCACAGAAAGCTGGATGATGGTGATGCCTAGAGTATCTCGACGGAACCTCTACCTTTCGGCCCGGCGTGCATCCATGGCGCTGAAGGCTGGATGATGCGCTGAAGGCTTCTGCCAACCGGCAGAGTATCTTGTGCCTTTTGCTGGTCCAACTCCCAAGGCTCGATGAAAATCCATCCACCCAAAATGTCATCCGTACACCCGGCACTGCCAGGCACTGCCAGGCCAGGCACTGCCAGGCCACTGCCAGCCACTGCCAGGCATGTCTTTTTCGGGGTTACCTCTCCTCTCCTCCTCACCTCACCTCCCACCTGCCCAGCTTCACCAGCTTCCCCTTCCCAGCTTCACCAGCAGGGGCCTTCGGACCACGTCGCCCACAAAGAAGCGGTACCACTCCGCCGACTCGCGCAAGCCTACCACCTCTGGGCGATGGATCTCGCTCGAGGTCGTAGGAGGAGTCGTGGCGGATGACGTGGCGGTCGGGTGCAGAGCCGCAGGTGCTGCCGGTTCAAAGGTTCTAAGGAAAGAAGTTGAAAGAAAATGACAGAGGGGAGTGCTGGGGTGTTCCTGTGACTGTTCTTTTATGCTTTCACAGAGACACGGGCGACTGCTTTTCAGAAAGCGACCGTGTAGGAGGCAGCGTATGGGAGGAGGCAGAGTGTATGTGCCATGATGTGCCATGATGGCTTCTAGAGACCTTCTTTGACACATCTTGTTGGTGGTAACACCAGCACCATGGCAACAACATGGTAACACCTCATGATACCGGCTCCTCAGTGTTACACCACCGGCCCAACCACGCACATGTCCTCCTACCGCTTGCGGTCACGGCCCATGCCTTGCCGCGATACAGTGCCATCCGCTGCTCTGGGCCTCGGCTGGCCAATGAATTGGGTGGATCCTTTTCAGTCTAAATGACATGGTTTTGGGCTGCCGCTAGTTCTAAAAGTCCAGTTCCAAAAAGACCTGGTTTTTACGACTGAAGAACAAGGGCAAGTCCAATCGACGAGGTCATACTCGGTCCAGGGCGGTACATGGGACTGCCTGAAGGGAGTCCCCAAACATCATCACATGGAACCAGGTCAACTAGACCTCTTGCCAAGATCACCTCGCTTCCTGTGGCTGCTAGAGTCTGGTGGTCCTCCTGTATTTCTGTGGACATAAGAGAAGCTATAACCTTAACCTTGCAAACAAGAACCAGTTGACGATATTCATAACTGTAGGATCTTTAAGGACTTTGCTCGAAGAAGAACTTGACAGGTGCTCCAGAAAGGAATGGACGTTGTCATGACATCTTTGATGTCAAACTTCCTGAATCGAAGGGTCGCTGAATCCAAGAAGTCTATTCGGAGCAGAGATGTCCAGCAATACAAGGATCAGCTAAGGGGAAGCTCACAGGGATCGATGAGATAGCCAAAGGAACGTGCTTGTCTGCTCGAGTGGAGACCCTTTTTTTGAGCTATACTCCAAAAAGCATTTTGCATAGGTCTCCAGCAGTTCGTGTTGTTCGGGTTGTTTCAGCATGGCAAAGTCACTGGGCAGTCACCGCTTCGTACTCCGAGACGCGTCCGAGACACTTTACGATGAGTTCTACTAAAACCCTCCTGATGCGTCGCTCGTTGAAGCTCGTTGATGAGTCACTCGAAGCCGCTCCAACGATCCCAGAAGTGCCCGCATGAGTTGTTCCAGCGGCAGTCGTCCAATGGCCGGGGTCTTTAGGCAAGGCACCTTCCTGCGCCAGGGCTGTTGTGGCGGGCAAGGCCAGTGGCAAGGAGACCAGGACGGCTCGGCGTGGTATGGCCTGGTCGTGGTGCGCAAGGAAGGACCTGTGACAAATGCCTTGGTCAAGAGGGGGAACTTCGATCATTGCTCTCTTGTTTCCAATAACTTTGCTTTCACTGTGGTAGCAGGTGAAAAAAAGACAAATAAAACATCACCTGTGTGAAAATCGTTCGCACATGATACACACAACTAAGTGAAGAGATTCAAAAGACCTGGTCGCACTAAGATCGATGTTTTCCTCAAACGAGAGTGAGTTCAATCGGCAAAGGATCGGGTAAGAAGCAATCATCGTCTCTCTGCCGCCTGCGGAACCCAAGTGGAAGGTGCTCGGCATAGGAGGCCAATGGTCAGCGGCACCTCGGTCAGGCGGTCGGCACCGAGCGGCCGGTCCTGCCGAGCGGTTTTCAGCGGTTTCGCGGTGTTGCGAAGGAAGTCTCAGAAGTTCAGACTGTCAGCTTCACTTCGCTTGTGTATCTGTGAGTGAAAACTGTCTTCACGAGTCTTCTCACACAAACAGAAACGATCGGGCCTGTTATATATGTTTTGTTTTCCCTTGGCCACCAACGGCCAGCCGCGCCAAAACCGGTGCCGGCGGTGATGGACATCACATCCAACGATCACCCAAAAATGAAGAGAGTGAACGACCTGGGATATCAACCTACAGTGTGTTTTTTTGGTACCCCCAAAAAATGTGACTCATGAAATTCTGAAAGTAGATATGGATGTATACAGTGCAGGATCCTTTCTAGGACCTGAATTTTGCTGGATCTTTCTCACACCCTCCGATCGCCATCGACTCCGATCGCCATCGACTCCGTCTGGACACGGCCATGGCAGCCATGGCACGGCCAGCATGCGCCGCATGGCAGCCATGGGTGCAAGCAAGACGAGCAGGCAGCGGATGATCGTCCGCAGGAGTTTGCAGAGGGCTTGATGATGTTTGTATGGCATGATGAGTCTTGGCTGTTTTGTTTCTTGTTCTACAGGTCATGATCATCAAACTGTGAAGACGGTTAGATAAGTTAGATAGGGATCTTTGATGGCTCTTGTTGGAGACACACCGTGTGTGCAAGATGCGGGACAGATCTGTGATCTGTGAGTCGTGAATTCTATATAAATCTCCGCTATTCACAGCAAATCACCCAAGATTTGCCAATAGCTCAGCTTTAGCTCCGCTAAAGGAAGTTGGCCGCACCAAGAACAACTTCAACTCAGCTTCCATGGGTGGTGTTACACCTCCTGCTTCCAAAGATGCTCTTTCCAGAGGGGTGCTTACTCCGCTGAGCAACGCGTGGATTTTTTTGATCTTTTGAGTAACGCGGACTGCCCTCTCTCTGTGCTCAAGGGTGATCCTGAGAGCCATAATATGCCCAGACAGCAAACCAGCTGCAGCTACCCAGCCATGCAAAAAGAGTATGTATGATCTCCTGAATTACTATATACCCGATCTACACCAATCGAATTCCTAAATCAATACCACGCGGTGACCTGATTGAAAGGCAATGATGTCATTCATCATATCATCCCAGTCGTTGAATCGAAATCAAGCCACGCCGCTGAGGTCCATCGCTTGCTTCTTCCCGGTGCGAAGGCATCACACACAGGATCGCTGCACTAACCACCTACGCCCCGCCTTTCGTGTCCAAGAAGGACCTTCTGGACAGCGAGAAACCGTACAGCCACCGGGTTTGACTCAGTGTCTGCACCGTCATCGGCCCACCCCTGTTGGTCATGAAGATGGGAGCAACCAAACGACCAAGGAACCGCTTCCGGATGAGAAAACGACGCGTTTCAACCAAGGTGGCTGGACAACCACTTCTGCATGACCAACGCGCAGGACAATTCTATTCCAAAGGGAACCTCTCCCTCCGAGGAAACCAGGAAAATCTCCCCAGAGCGAGAAGTGCCCAGAGCCATGCATTCCAGAGCTTTGGAGTACAAACAGGCTCCGGCCTGGTGAAATCGGGCCATTTGAGTAGAATTTGGGTTGGTGGTGTAACAACCAACTCGCAGAGAAAAGAGAAATCCGGTGACACGGAGACTTTCTTGATCCACATTCGTCCGATTGCTATAGCCGCAGTTCCCAACTTGTGCCCTGCACTTTGCAACACGCCAGAGTTCCCATTCCCACCACCTCAGTCATCAATGAACTCCACCAACAGCGTGCACGGGCCCTGCCATGTGCAGACCACCATTTAGACCGACGGGAAAGCAACGAAAAGGCAAGGGAAAGCGCAAAATACCACCTGGACATGGCTCAACAATCTTCCAAAAGCAGGTACACCATGGTACACCGCAAACCGCCTAAGAAGGTCAATTGAGTCTTCTTTTGGTCAACATGCCACATTCTTGTTCAGCAGAAAAAGAACCGAGAAACTCATGTTGGTCCAACAGATATACATATATATAATGGGGTCATCTGGTTCAATTGGAGATATATATATATTATAATATTACATAATCGGCCATTTTGGGGTCCTGGCAAATGAAGACCTTGTCTCTGCGAAGGCCTTTGAATGTTGAGACATCTCATACCCAAATGAAGCCATTGGTTTACAGGTCTGCTTACCCAGCCCTCCCAAACCGAACCCAACCGCCTTGAGGCCCGCCGCTGCCAGAGTCAAGTCACGATCCTGGAGGACGGCCCCGCGACAAGCCCTGAGTATGTTAGGCACAAAAGGTGTACTTGGCCCTCAAGTCCAAAACCAAGCGCCCAGTCAAGACCCTGCAGTTGACACTACAAGTTCAGCCAGGTTGAGGTTCAACTCCATTCCATTTTCCCTGCAACCTGCAAGCAAAAAGCCGTGCAGCCACACCAAACCCCCCGGTCCATCCTCCGCACCCCCTCCGCTTCCTAAGCACGCCCCCCCACCACGCCCCACGCCCCATCTCCACCACCGCGCGACACCTCTCCGCGCCTCCCCACACGCGCAAACCGCGCCGCGCCAAGCGTCGGTGCCTCGTAGGTGCGTCTGGGCATCGTCTCGACCAAGCGAAAGGACCGGCCCCGGACGGCCTCGATCGGAGCGGCTGGGATCGGCGCCGTCGATCGTCGTGCCGGGGGTGAAAAGCGCACGGATTTCAGAGCGCACTGGGTGAAACGCCGGTGATGGTGATGGGGTAGGGAAGTGGTAGGAGAAGCAGTAGTGGCAATAGTGGTAGATGGAAGTATGTTTGTGGTGGTATACATAATGATGACAGTGGTAGCGGTCGGTAGCAGAGCCCCTAAGACTAGGAGAAGTAGAGATGAATTGACTGACGGTCAAAATTCAATTGTGTGGCTGCAGATCATCAGGATTTGGTGAGTGTACTGAGCGATATCGTGTTTTCCATGTCCCTCACCTTATCACTCTGGTGAAGGTTTTGTTGTTGCTCAGTCAAAACATGCACTCTGACTGTTTATTTCTTTCACGAAATGTTGCTCATCTTTCACAAATCCGATGATGGGATCCGGCCTTCAACACCATTGAGAGATGGTGGAACATCTCTTATATAGGCTGAAGCCTTCAGACCTGGGGATGATCCCATAGCCATCTAGCTCTTTGCCACTGATCTTCCCACCAGGCCGCGGGCGCACCGCGGCGGTTCCGCGCCTCTCCGCCCTCCAAGAGCACGAAGGCGTAGACCTCCCCAGGCTCGAGTCGAAGATCCGAAGAACGCCCGGGGAGGGGGTCGGGGAGGGGGGTCACCATGGCGAGACATGGTTTAAACGATATGTGTTCGCTATAGGGGAAAAGGATCGGCCTCCAAACTTGCGGGGGGGGGCGGAGTGAAAGGGCCCTCAGCAGCTTTCGGAAACTGGGAACATGTGCAGTGAACGTTTGGGGCTCAAGGGTTCACATCAAATACGTTTGAGATATTGGACTCTATAAATACTGTAGATATCAAATAGAGAACCTCCCAAGAAGTTGTAGCCTTGTGAAAGTCATGGAAAGCCACATTCACCACTCACCGACCGCCACGCTGATCCTGCGCATGGCGCCCACGAGCTACGACCGCCACCGCCTGTGCGATGGTATTCTCGGCGGCAAAGGCTCTCTTCAAGCGCCTGTCATCGTGCGCGTTGTCGCAGGAGACCAACCCTAGGCCCGGCCCTAGGGCGTTGGTGGTGGGAGGAGACCAACCCATCGGAGGGAGGGCTCTGGCATTAAAGATTATTGGCCGGATTTTCCATGGCCGGATGGCTAGAGGAAGTGGTATATATAATACCATGATGGCATTTCATGACCCGTGGCTCCTGAAGCGAACCTCCCTGTGCTCAAGCGCCAGAACCTCCTCTCAAAGGGAATCATTCCAGCGGGAAGTCGGGAGGACACGTTACGTTCTCACCGGCTTTGTTCAAAAGAGGTCCATGTCCTTGAGCACTCAGAAGCACTGGAGAAGCAGGAGAAGAAGAGAAGGAAATCCCAATTTGGTGGATCCATCCACTGGGACTTCTCTCGCTTTTCCCCCAAGACTCCGCTCGCCCCGGCACTCCGCACTGCTCCGCCTCCCGTCGGGGGTGCGGATGAGGAACTGCAGGCAGGCGCTGCCATCACTGGGCCTTGAGGATGTGAAAAGAGATGCGTCGTGTCGACGCATAAGCAGACAACACGCAAGCTCCAGCGGTGCTGAACTGAATGGGGAATGAATGGGGCACATCCAAAAGAATCCCAAAAGCATGAAACGCAAAAAAAATAAAAACGAAACAAGAAAAAACTTCAAAGGTGTATAATTTATCATCTCTCTCCTTCAAAAGCTTCGGTGCCAGCAGTTCCTAGGTATACATTCCCCCAATCAAGTCCGGAGATTACCGCTTCCGAGGCCTTGCTCTCAAACACTAGGTATTCGTCTGCAGCAACCATCCCGCACAGCAGGATCTCAGGCAAACTGACCCCCTCCCAGGTTCCAAAAGCTTGCGCGACCGAACACCCCTTCGAACCGCCAACGGTGGTTGAGGCGTAGACTCTGGAGGAAGCAACTGCTTGGCCTGGCGCATGCATGTTGGATCTCGGGCGCATGGGAACCACGTCACCCATCCCATCGATTTTGGCGCCGACGAGGCGGGCGGGAAAGGGTTGCTGCCGGGCAGGTCGCTGCTTTTAGCGGAAAGTCGCACAGGTCGGGGAATTCGGAAAGTCTTCAACAGGGAAGAGCCCGCCGCCCACTCAGGGCCCAGAGAGGGCTGAGCTCAGACCTCGAAGCTTCAAGTGCCCGGCCTCTTCCATGAGCTCTTGGATCTTCTCCTTCTTCGCTTGCTCGGCGGCCTCTGCCTCTCCAGCACGTGGCAGGGGGAAGGTGGGGAAGACGCGCATCCTCTGAGTTAGATATATAGAAGATTACAAAAACGTCTTTTCTTGTCGTTTGCATATTCCATAGTACAATTTCATTTCACTTGAGGATAACCACATCAAAAATGCGTTTGAAGACTGAAGAATCCAGAAACCTCAAGACACCCGATTTCATCGCTTTTGAAAAACCATGCCTTCCACACCTGAAAACGGGCTCAAGCCTTCCAAATCCCTGGCGTTTCGCGCAACGCTCGTCGCGCTACGTCAGGAGGACCCGCCTGTTTGGCCTGGGACTCAAGTTCCTCAGCCTCGCGGCGCCTCTGCTCCTCTTCCTCCTTCTGCCTCTGCCGGCTGTGCGGAGGGGCCCCCAAAAGCGGAGCTTGGGCCCCGGAAGAGCTCCCGGGCTATGGAGGGAGTTGAGACCTGCGGCTTGGGTTTCTTAGCTGGCGGCTGTCTGTCATGCTGGTTTTGGAGGGGATCAATATGGCAAATCCAAAAGCGTGGGAGCGGAAATCACATCTTGAAAGGTGTCCTGCTCTGTTCATGTTCTGGGTTTTCACCAGGGTCCAGGGTTCAGCTTGAGCCACTTATTAGACATTATGTCGCGTCACAAGCCAGCTTCTCGTCAGACTTTCAGTGGAGGTCCTCCAGTCAA